TGCTTAAGCCAGTACATGTCCAGGCCCGTCTGAAGTGCATTTGGATGATCCAGAAGAGGATTGGGAGAATGTCATATGGTCAGATGAAACCAAAATATAACTTTTTGGTAAAAACTCAACTCGTCATGTTTGGAGGACAAAGAATGCTGAGTTGCATCCAAAGAACACCATACCTACTGTGAAGCATGGGGTTGGAAACATCATGCTTTGGGGCTGTTTTTCTGCAAAGGGACCAGGACGACTGATCCGTGTAAAGGAAAGAATGAATGGGGCCATGTATCGTGAGATTTTGAGTGAAACCCTCCTTCCATCAGCAAGGGCATTGAAGATGAAACGTGGCTGGGTCTTTCAGCATGACAATGATCCCAAACACACCGCCCGGGCAACGAAGGAGTGGCTTCGTAAGAAGCATTTCAAGGTCCTGGAGTGTTCTAGCCAGTCTCCAGATCTCAACCCCATAGAAAATCTTTGGAGGGAGTTGAAAGTCTGTGTTGCCCAGCGACAGCCCCAAAACATCACTGCTCTAGAGGAGATCTGCATGGAGGAATGGGCCAAAATACCAGCAACAGTGTGTGAAAACCTTGTGAAGACTTACAGAAAACGTTTGACCTGTGTCATTGCCAACAAAGGGTATATAACAAAGTATTGAGAAACTTTTGTTATTGACCAAATACTTATTTTCCACCATCATATGCCAATAAATTCATTAAAAATCCTACAATGTGATTTTCTGGAATTTTTTTTCTCATTTTGTCTGTCATAGTTGACGTGTACCTATGATGAAAATTACAGGCCTCTCTCATCTTTTTAAGTGGGAGAACTTGCACAATTGGTGGCTGACTAAATACTTTTTTTCCCCACTGTAAGTACATATTTCATATCTTTCAAGTGTTTATGTCTGAAGATGCACTGTGCAACGATAATGTCATATTTATGGTTATGCTAATGAGTAGTTTCTACTGCGAGCTAGCTATTGTGAGCTGGCTAGCTCTGTTTTGGTTGTCATATCATTTCGGACATTTAACCCTGTATTTGTTAAGGATAATGTCCCCCAGTGCGTTGTTTATATGTCCTGTAATTGTATACGTGTATGGTACATCATTATATGGGTATTACATTGTGACTGCACTAATTTAAAATCAAAGGGGTGCCGCCACAAGTGTACTACAAAGCATAACACCACCATCTTCAGTACAGGGCTACAACTGCACAATGAACGTGAATACCTCTAAACAGTGAAATACAGTCACGTTGTATGGTCCTGTATAGCATTAAGTCATCATAGCCATGTTATGGTTTAAAAGAGATGTGAATTGGAGATTGTATTCTGTCATTCATTATTGTATCTTTATTTATCTCTTTACTTGCAGACTACACACACACACTTTGGTTGAAGCAAGTTGCCAGACCACTAAGTGAGCGAACACAGAAAGTTAAACCAAACCCTAAAGAATATACAGTCTACCAAGTCCTCACTTACAGATGGTAATAACACACTATGTTCTGCTTTCATCATCACTAAATTACTGCCCTCACATTAACCCCCAAGCCATAGGCTCAAACAGAGTTCAGCCGCACATACAGTAGTTGACAGTACATAACAGTCTTAAGAGATCATTTTTCATTCTGGGAATTCAATTGTTTGTTTGCATGAAACATCAATAACATTGTATGGTCAATATGTGATCAGCTGCCTATTTCACAGCTAAAATCTGTTAATTCATCAGCATTCTTTACATATCCCATATTCTTTGTTTTTGCATTGTCTGAGATCTATAGGTACATATATTGTGTGACTGTGACCTGTTGCTGGCTGGGCTGCAACCTGGTCTCAGATCAATTTCATATTATTTTGTACGTAAATGTCAACACCCCATTTTACTATAGACCAATTTCCCATACATGACACACTGACGTCACGCAGAGATGTGTGCGACTCTTGGCGGCAGTAAGAAAGTCATCGCTATCTGCGCCCATTCAACATAGCGTAGATTTACGTTTTTATTACTCCTAAACAAAATACCTTTTTGGAGTTCTCATAGGCTTACAATGATGTTTTGATTCTTGCTTGAACAGTCGCTAAAATTATATTTGTTTGTGATCTTTGCAAAATAACTATTTTGGATGCAACAGTTGTTAGCTGTATGCTAACACTCATTTATTTAGGCTGTAGCAAAAGCTAGGCAAATAACCATTTTACTGATTGAAGTTGAAGTGTTTTTAAGTATAATGCAGTTGATTTGTGATGATGACACAAACATTATATTAAGCAGGACAGTTATGAGCCTTAACATCCAATTCTAATCCAAAAGTAGTGTGAAATGCACTCATAAGCAACATGTAAATAGAGCTTTTTTTTTGCTGGTGTTCTACAAGAACGCCCCCTTGTTCTGCCACCAACTTGCGCACATGCCCTTGTGCGGCAATGTTTGCAAACACAGAAAGGGTCTATATGTTACTGAATATCCCGGATATACTTTTACTATGTTACATGGTCCTCTGTAGCTCAATTGGTAGAGCATGGCGCTTGTAACGCAAGGGTAGTGGGTTCGATCCCCGGGACCACCCATACGTAAAAATGTATGCACACATGACTGTAAGTCGCTTTGGATAAAAGCGTCTGCTAAATGGCATATTATTATTATTATTACATCTAGTCTATGAGACCAGGCTGGTGGTATGTGTATAAATAGCTGCACTATTGTACTGGACTGTACCAATATGGGACCAGGGCATTAGTTCAGCTGACATGCCATCAGACTTGTACAGGGACTGCATCACTGCAAGGAACCCATCCAGCCAGGGGTAAAGAGTTGAGGACTGTCAACCCAACTCTAATTAGGTCTACTTCAGGCACGAAGCGAAATAACTTTTCACAACTGCAAGAGGAATGGTAAATATGTGGACACGTTTCCTTTAAGACTCCCCCTCTTCCCGGGTTGACAACATTGCAGGTGTGACGTTTTCCACATTTCTCGTCCGCTAAGGAAAATATGCTGTCCTACGCCTTCTAATCCGGAGAATTTCAACCTGGTAATGAAATTGTAACCAAAGAGGACAGCTATGAGTTCATAAACTCAATGGAAGTGTTCCAGTCATTTCAACATCCATCCAAAAAGAACTACATAACGTCTCGAGTGCGCGCTGTCGCACAGGAACGTCTGGGCTTTGACAGAGCTTTCGACCGAAGTAGCAAGTTATCTTTGCCCTGACTCTGAACCGCGAGACATTTTGGTAGGACCATTCAGAACCCCACACTGGTTATGACTAGATGTAACTAGTTTTAACATCATTCATAGGGCCATGTTAAATTTATAGCACTGCTTTCTCTGTTACATTAGCACGGCTACAGATTTGATAGCTGGCTAGGTTTTTAAATGTTGTCTGTTCGTCCGAACAACGATAGCACTGATTTACCTCGTTTCATACATTGACGGCATATTTTAGCTCACAACTTTCACTGCAAAACTAGTAAATTGCACGTTCTATTTAGATACGTTGCAATATATTAGGCTAGAGGCCTAAATTGCTATTAGTTTAGTTAGCTACAATGTCTGTAATATCACTGAAGCTTGCTGGTGTCTACTACGAACAAGCCAAATGCATTCGCGTCAAGATGATCCAATAACATTGTTGATGTTTCCTTATATTATCGTGTCAGTAGGCCAACTGCAAGCCTACCCATCGCGCCCTTTCCCGGCCAGGGCTAACCACCACACAGTGACAGGACTTTCTGTGTCGACTGCTGCCCAGATGCCCGGTGGAGGATGCCTTCGCAACAGATAGGTAGCTACTAGCCTCTGGGAATGAATGATGATGACGCTGTGATTTAGGGGTTGGAACTAGCTGGAATTAAAGGGAACTGTCATATCAAAGTTTTGGTGGAAACAGATGCAGCCATGCTATTTTCTTCCCTCCCTCACTGTAGCCTCTTTTTTGGTACTAGACCAGAGCAGTGGTTCCCAACAAGGGGTACTAGGCCTATCCACAGGGGGTACTTGAAAAGATTAATGAGACCATAGGCCTAGTGGTAAAATGCACATGAGGGGGTACTTCAGGGGTACTCCAGGCAGAACAAAATTCAGTTGGTGGTACAGTAAGCGGAAAAGTAGGAGCAACAATGTTGATATTGTAGTTTCTTAACCCTCCCGTTGTCCTAGGGTCAAAATGACCCGCCACTGTGTTGAACCAACTTGATTAAATTTTAATATTTTTGGGATCATTTGTGAGAAGGAGGCAGTGATACTTTCTTTAAAGTATCACTGCCTCCTTCTCACAAATGATCCCAAAAATATAAAAATTTAATAAAGTTGGTTCAACACAGTGGCGGGTCATTTTGACCCTAGGACAACGGGAGGGTTAAAAGGGTAGAGTGAGTGAAGAGGCTGTTTGCAAAGAAGGAAGTCAAGGCATGGTCTCTTCTCTTTTTCCTGTGTGTGGCTGGAGGTTGAGGTTGCCATGCGTGAACCTGCTCAAAGGTTAAAGAATAGGATTGCAATAGAATGAATAACTGATCTTTGCCCCCTGTCATTATCCTGGCCATACATCTGAAACCCTACCTGTTCAAATAGTATCTTAAATAATCCTACGTACCCTGTTCAAAGGCACTTAAATATTTTTGCCTATTCACCCTCTGAATGGCACACATACACAATCCGTGTCTCAATTGTCTCAAGGCTTAAAAATCCTTCTTTAACCTGTCTCTTCCCCTTTATCTACACTGATTTGAAGTGGATTTAACAAGTGACATCAATAAGGGATGATAGCTTTCACCTGGCCAGTCTATATCATGGAAAGAGCAATATTTTGTATACTCAGTGTATGCTAATACACTACTTTATGAAAGGTGTTAAAAATATAGATATTACCTATCCTATCTTTTCAGATGATTAGGGGCTAGGTGTTCAGGGCTCGATTTGGAAGTGGGCATGAGATTAAGGAAAACTATGTAAACTAGTGACTGACCTTAACCTCTAACCTCCTGGCTAACCCTTCCAGACATGGAGTTGATGACTCCCCTCATGGAGAACCCTGGAGGAGGGCAGGAGGAGGAGGACTCTGAAGTAGACCAGGATCCAGATCTGCTGCCTGCAGACACCAGGAGCTGGGCAACAGCCACCAGGGCATCACGTAAGTTAACACACCCTAACTACCTCAACAGCCACCAGGGCATCACGTAAGTTAACACACCCTAACTACCTCAACAGCCACCAGGGCATCACGTAAGTTAACACACCCTAACTACCTCAACAGCCACCAGGGCATCACGTAAGTTAACACACCCTAACTACCTCAAACAGCCACCAGGGCATCACGTAAGTTAACACACCCTAAACTACCTCAACAGCCACCAGGGCATCACGTAAGTTAACACCACCCTAACTACCTCAACAGCCACCAGGGCATCACGTAAGTTAACACACCCTAACTACCTCAACAGCCACCAGGGCATCACGTAAGTTAACACACCCTAACTACCTCAACAGCCACCAGGGCATCACGTAAGTTAACACACCCTAACTACCTCAACAGCCACCAGGGCATCACGTAAGTTAACACACCCTAACTACCTCAACAGCCACCAGGGCATCACGTAAGTTAACACACCCTAACCTACCTCAACAGCCACCAGGGCATCACGTAAGTTAACACACCCTAACTACCTCAACAGCCAACCAGGGAATCACGTAAGTTAACACACCCTAAACTACCTCAACAGCCACAGCGGATCCGTAAGTTAACACACCCTAACTACCTCAACAGCCACCAGGGCATCACGTAAGTTAACACACCTCAACTACCTCAACAATGAAACACTTCAGATGCCAGATTCTGTAACATAGAGGTATTCTCTATTAGTGGTTAGTTATTGTACTGGAGGTTTGTGTTAGTGGACACTGAGGCCCTTCAGGAATTGAGTTTGAATCGCATGCCATTCAATATCAAATTACATTGGTCTCAGAGTAGACCCCTAATCCTAACCCTCTCTGTGTTCCACAGGTTTACTCAGGCTCTCATCCACCTGCTGAAGGGGAACATTGGGACTGGGTTGCTGGGTCTTCCCCTGGCAGTACGCAACGCAGGTGTCATAGTGAGTAACTAATGTCCCACTAGGGATACTACATTTACATTTGAGTCATTTAGCAGACGCTCTTATCCAGAGCGACTTACAGGAACAATTAGGGTTAAGTGCCTTGCTCCAAGGGCACATCAACAGATTTTTCACCTAGTCGGCTCAGGGATTCAAACGAGCGACCTTCGGTTACTGGTCCAACGCTCTTCACCACTAGGCTACCTGCTGCCTTACACCCTTCAAACCATAACACAAACAGGGCTGGGTCACACTTTACATTACATGAGTGTCCTTGTGTACTGGTGTAAGTACATTGTAAGATTGTTTTGGTTTATTCAGTAGGAAAAATACGCAATCTCTTGTGAGAGTCAAGGCAGAGAAAAGGCTGGGAACCCACTATATTGGCAAGAAAGTGTCTCAGAAAACTTGGCCTTGGTTTTAAAGTTACTGAGTGAACTTGCACGATGTGTCATGCCTACAGCATTGCATTATACATCATTGAAATTGGTTGGTAAAAATAATTGGAATTCGCTAATGCTTTAACAGAAAAGCAAGGCAAGAAAATGTAATGGGCTGGGCATGAATATGGATTAGGCATAAATATGTATTACATGATTATCTCTGATCTGAATGTTTATTGGAAGTAAAACACAGATGTGTAAGAACATTCTTATGATTCCATTGTTTGATTTAACAAGCGATTCAGTTTCTGTGTTTACTGGACCAGTCTGTACGATAAGAGCAGAAATGAACATACCTTGTACAAATGAATACACGCATAGGAATTACAGTGGCTTGCGAAAGTATTCACCCCTTTGGCATTTTTCCTATTTTGTTGCCTTACAACCTGGAATTAAAATTGATTTTTTGGGGGTTTGTATCATTTGATTTACACAACATGCCTACCACTTTGAAGATGCCAAATATTTTTGTTGTTTGAAACAAACAACAAATAAGACAAAAAAACAGAACTTGAGCGTGCATAACTATTCACCCCCTCCCAAAGTCAATACTTTGTAGAGCCACCTTTAGCAGCAATTACAGCTGCAAGTCTCTTGGGGTATGTCTCTATAAGCTTGGCACATCTAGCCAGTGTGATTTTTGCCTGTTCTTCAAGGCAAAACCGCTCCAGCTCCTTCAAGTTGGATGGGTTCCGCTGGTGTACAGCAATCTTTAAGTCATACCACAGATTCTCAATTGGATTGAGGTCTGGGCTTTGACTAGGCCATTCCAAGACATTTAAATGTTTCCCCTTAAACCACTAGAGTGTTGCTTTAGCAGTATGCTTAGGGTCATTGTCCTGCTGGAAGGTTAACCTCTGTCCCAGTCTCAAATCTGTGGAAGACTGAAACAGGTTTCCCTCAAGAATTTCCCTGTATTTAGCGCCATCCATCATTCCTTCAATTCTGACCAGTTTCCCAGTCCCTGCAGATGAAAAACATCCCCACAGCATGATGCTGCCACCGCCATGCTTCACTGTGGGGATGGTGTTCTCGGGGTGATGAGAGGTGTTGGGTTTGCGCCAGACATAGCGTTTACCTTGATGGCCAAAAAGCTCAATTTTAGTCTCATCTGACCAGAGTACCTTCTTCCAAATGTTTGGGGAGTCTCCCACATGGCTTTTGGCGAACACCAAACGTGTTTGCTTCTTTTTTTCTTTAAGCAATAGTTTTTTTCTGGCCACTCTTCCGTAAAGCCCAGCTCTGTGGAGTCTACGGCTTAAAGTGGTCCTATGGACAGATACCCCAATCTCCGCTGTGGAGCTTTGCAGCTCCTTCAGGGTTATCTTTGGTCTCTTTGTTGCCTCTCTGATTAATGCCCTCCTTGCCTGGTCCGTGAGTTTTGGTGGGCGGCCCTCTCTTGGCAGGTTTGTTGTGGTGCCATATGCTTTCCATTTTTTAATAATGGATTTAATGGTGCTCCGTGGGATGTTTAAAGTTTCTGATATTTTTTCTTAACCAACCCTGATCTGTACTTCTCCACAACTTTGACCCTGATCTGTTTGGAGAGCTCCTTGGTCTTCATGGTGCCACTTGCTTGGTGGTGCCCCTTGCTTAGTGGTGTTGCAGACTCTGGAGCCTTTCAGAACAGGTGTATATATACTGAGATCATGTGACACTTAGATTGCACACAGGTGGACTTTATTTAACTAATTATGTGACTTCTGAAGGTAATTGGTTGCACCAGATCTTATTTAGGGGCTTCATAGCAAAGGGGGTGAATACATATGCACGCACCACTTTTCCGTTATTAATTATTTAGAATTTTTTTGAAACAAGTAATTTTTTTCATTTCACTTCACCAATTTGGACTATTTTGTGTATGTCCATTACATGAAATCCAAATAAAAATCCAAGGGGGATGAATACTTTTGCAAGGCACTGTAAGCTCCAAGCCTTCTGGGGTGTTAATGCAGTGTTGTGGAAGAGTTGGGAGTCATTGTAAGTGGTCTCAGTGGACCTGCTAGACTCCTCTGTCTACAGACGATGATTGCCTGCTGTGGTTCCTGGCTCAAGTTAAGTTGATTTTGGGTTTTATATTTGGGCCTCTGCGTCATGTGCCATTAAACCCCTACAACTCATCCAGAATGCCGCAGCCCGTCTGGTGTTCAACCTTCCCAAGTTCTCTCACATCACCCCGCTCCTCCGCACACTACACTGGCTTCCAGTTGAAGCTCGCATCTGCTACAAGACCATGGTGCTTGCCTACGGAGCTGTGAGGGGAACGGCACCTCCGTACCTTCAGGCTCTGATCAGTCCCTACACCCAAACGAGGGCATTGCGTTCATCCACCTCTGGCCTGCTGGCTCCCCTACCTCTGCTGAAGCACAGATCCCGCTCAGCCCAGTCAAAACTGTTCGCTGCTCTGGCACCCCAATGGTGGAACAAGCTCCCTCACGACGCCAGGACAGCGGAGTCACTCACCACCTTCCGGAGACATTTGAAACCCCACCTCTTTAAGGAACACCTGGGATAGGATCAAGTAATCCTTCTAACCCCCCCCCCCAAAAAAAAGTAAAGTGGTTATCCCACTGGCTATAAGGTGAATGCACCAATTTGTAAGTCGCTCTGGATAAGAGCGTCTGCTAAATGACGTAAATGTAAATATATATACATATATATACACACACAAGAGTTCAAAGGTCATAATAACTCTTATGTAGACTTGTATGTGTATTGCCCTGGTTTGCCCCTGCTAACTGGGCAGGGCACACAACCCTTATCTCTGAGTATTACACATGGATGTGAGTGTGTAATGTACAATGGTTTAAAGTACAGTGTGTGTGTGTGTCATGTATGTGACGTGTTATCAGATTAATATTTGAATCTGTAGATTGCTGCATCTTCTTCTCTGAACCAAGGCCTGCTTAATCAGTTAGTGAGGTGTTCATCAAACTAGTCCTCAGCACCATGGTATAAACCTCCCTGTGTGTCTTCCTGCTGTGTAGCTGTGGCACTGGCTAGTGGCTGATCTCAGATCAGTTTATTGCCTCATGTCTTTCCTGTCAATCCTCCATTTGCTAAATGGACAATAGGAGGATAGGATCAGGCTAGACAAGTGTCATTATTTGAAAGGACAATCAGGTAAACTTCAGACTAATCTTGTCTACCAGCCAGCTCTGTTGCAATTGAGACTGAGAACGAGGTTAGCTTCAGACCAACAGTAGGCACAGATGATCACTCCTACCATACCAGTGAAACCGAGGTAGCCTGCATGTCACATTTATGACGTTGCCAAGGATACATTGCGTTTGCTCGAATTTCCCCACAGAATCTGCAGGCTCCATAGACTAGATGATGTGCTAGTATTGTATCTTGGTTGAGAAGGAAACCAAAATGTCGTTGTGTATCCTCTTGCTTAATCTGCCCTCCTTTGTGCTGTCTCATGATGATGGTGTGATCATGTCACATGACCGAGAGATCTTGTGTGTGTGTGTGTAGGGCAAAACTGAACAGGGCAAAATAAGTCGCAACACAGTTATGTGAAATGATGTTTTCCGTGACATACACTAATGGTCAAAAGTTTTAGAACACCTACTCATTCAAGGGGTTTTCTTTATTTTTAGTATTTTCTACATTGTAGAATAATAGTGAAGACATTAAAATTATGAAATAACACATATGGAATCATGTAGTAACCAAAAAAGTGTTAATCAAATCCAAATATATTTTATATTTGAGATTCTTCAAATAGCCACCATTTGCCTTGATGACAGCTTTGCACACTCTTGGCATTCTCTCAACCAGCTTAACCTGGAATGCTTTTCCAACAGTCTTGAAGGAGTTCCCACATATGCTGCGAAGATCATTCGTTAACCCACACCGTGTCTCACAAAGACACGGCGGTTGAAACTAATAATCTCCAATTTGGAATCCAGACCAAAGGACAAATTTCCACCAGTCTAATGTCCATTGCTCGTGTTTTTTGGCCCAAGCAGGTCTCTTCTTCTTATTGATGTCCTTTAGTAGTGGTTCCTTTGCAGCAATTCGACCATGAAGGCCTGATTCACACATGTTGAGATGTGTCTGTGACTTGAACTCTGTGAAGCATTTATTTGTGCTGCAATTTCTGAGGCTGGTAACTCTAATGAACTTATCCTCTGCAGCAGAGGTAACTCTGGGTCTTCCATTCCTGTGGCGGTCCTCATGAGATCCAGTTTCATCATAGCGCTTGATGGTTTTTGCGACTGCACTTGAAGAAACTTCAAAGTTCAAGTTCAAAGTTCTTGACATTTTCCGTATTGACTGACCTTCATTTCTTAAAGTAATGATGGGCTGTCGTTTCTCTTTGCTTATTTGAGTTGTTCTGCCATAATATGGACTTGGTCTTTTACCAAATAGGGCTATCTTCTGTATACCCCCCCTACCTTGTCACAACACAACTGATTGGCTCAAATGCATTAAGGAGGAAATAAATTCCACAAATTAACTTTTAAGAAGGCACACCTGTTAATTGAAATGCTTTCCAGGTGACTACCTCATGAAGCTGGTTGAGAGAATGCCAAGAGTGTGCAAAGCTGTCATCAAGGCAAAGGGTGGCTATTTGAAGAATCTCAAATATAAAATATATATTGATTTTTTTTAATCTCTTTTTTGGTTACTGCATGATTCCATATGTGTTATTTCATAGTTTTGATGTCTTCACTATTATTCTACAATGTACAAAATAGTAAAAAATAAAGAAAAACCCTTAAATTAGTAGGTGTTCTAAAACTTTTGACCGGTAGTGTACATAGAATATCAAAGAGCTATCCCACTACTGATTGTGTATAAGTGAGAAGTAGCCTATTTCTCAGGGTTATATCTGATGCATTTGCACTACTATGGACTGTTTGCTGTAGAGTGTTCCTGTCTGGTTCACAGTTGGTTTCAGTTGGTGTTGACATTACTGTCAGTATGTTCTCAGTCTGTTCTTTGTGTGTTTTTGTTTCTCCAGGTGGGGCCTCTTTGCCTGGTGCTGATGGGTGTGGTCTGTGTTCACTGTATGCACATCCTGGTCCACTGTAGCCACCACCTGTGTGAGAGGTAATAACCATGCGATCACACACACACAGAGACACACAACCACACACCTTAGAGCGCCCTTAGCAGCATCCTCACTGACAAGCCCCTTGGGTTTCATAGCCGTCATCAACACCTGTCTCGTTTTGTTTTTCCTCACACATACTTTCCTTTTCAATACAATGACAGTAATAAAAACACTTAACCGCCAGGGACCCAGCCGCTCTGTCGACTTATGTGCTCTCTCTCTCTCTCTCTCTCTCTCTCTCTCTCGCTCTGTGTGTCTCCGCTTCACTTCAAGTCTGTGAGCACACCGCTCTGCTTAATACGGTGGCTAATGTGCAGTCATTTATTTTGCTGGATCTAATGATGAGTTGGTCAGACGTGAGATGTTAAGTGCTTCCTGGGTGTAAACGAGCCCTGGAGGTCGCCCACCCACATCTCCATTACTCTACTGACAAGTGCTCTAGCAACAACATCAACCCGCCTCCCTAAACACAAACACACACACACACACACACACACCCCCTATCAAACAAAATTAAATACATACAAACAGTGAGTCTTGGATGAGGAGTACGAAACATTGAGAGAGAGCGGTAGGAAGGGGGAGAGAAGGGGATAGCTAGATGGATAGAGAGAGCGAGAGGTAGGGAGGGGGAGAGAAGGGGATAGATAGAGAGAGAGAAGTATTTACTCTCGTTTTCCCTCTCATCAGTTATTTGCTTTTTATTCTAAATCCTCAGCGTGTGTACCGTGTTAGTGCTGGGAGCAGATAACAACCAGCTAGAGGTCTTCACAGGTCCAAAAAGTTGGATCAGTGGCTTTCCCACCCGACCCGATATGCATAAATAAAAAATAAAACAATTGAGACCTGTTCTGAATGTACCCGAGGACAGTCAGAGCCGTTCCGAAAACGACCAGGGTAAACAGACCAAAACAGACCCGTGCTGGTTCGGATCCGAGAGACCTGTTCAGGTCCGAAAGCAGGAGAAGATAGATTTAGACTTGGATTTTTCCGCAAGGACATACAGTTGAAGTCGGAAGTTTACAAACACTTAGGTTGGAGTCATTAAAACTTGTTTTTCAACCACTCCACACATTTCTTGTTAACAAACTATAGTTTTGGCAAGTCCGTTAGGACAGCTACTTTGAGCATGATACAAGTAATTTTTTCCAACAATTGTTTACAGACAGATTATTTCACTTATAATTCACTGTATCACAATTCCAGTGTGTCAAAAGTTTACATACACTAAGTTGACTGTGCCTTTAAACAGTTAGGAAAATTCCAGAAAATGATGTCATGGCTTTAGAAGCTTCTGATGGGCTAATTGACATCATTTGAGTCAATTGGAGGTGTACCTGTGGATGTATTTCAAGGCCTACCTTCAAACTCAGTGCCTCTTTGCTTGACATCATGGGAAAATCAAAAGAAATCAGCCAAGACCTCAGAAAATGTATTGTAGACCTCCACAAGTCTGGTTCATCCTTGGGAGCAATTTCCAAAAGCCTGAAGGTACCACGTTCGTCTGTACAAACAATAGTACGCAAGTATAAACACCATGGGACCACGCAGCTGTCATACCGCTCAGGAAGGAGACGCGTTCTGTCTCCTAGAGATGAATGTACTTTGGTGCAAATCAATCCCAGAACAACAGCAAAGGACCTTGTGAAGATGCTTGAGGAAATGGGTACAAAAGTATCTATATCCACAGTAAAACGAGTCCAGACTAAAAAAGCCACTAAAAAAGCCAGACTACGGTTTGCAACTGCACATGGGGACAAAGATCGCACTTTTTGGAGAAATGTCCTCTGGTCTAATGAAACAAAAATATAACTGTTTGGCCATAATGACCATCGTTATGTTTGGAGGAAAAAGGGAAACGCTTGCAAGCCGAAGAACACCATCCCAACCGTGAAGCACGGGGGTGGCAGCATCATGCTGTGGGGGTGCTTTGCTACAGGAGGGACTGGTGCACTTCACAAAATAGATGGCATCATGAGGAAGGAAAATTATGTGGATATATTGAAGCAACATCTCAAGACATCAGTCAGGAAGTTAAAGCTTGGTCACAAATGGGTCTTCCAAATGGACAATGACCCCAAGCATACATCCAAAGTTGTGGCAAAATGGCTTAAGGACAACAAAGTCAAGGGATTGGAGTGGCCATCACAAAGCCCTGACCTCAATCCTATAGAACATTTGTGGGCAGAACTGAAAAAGTGTGTGCGAGCAAGGAGGCCTACAAACCTGACTCAGTTACACCAGTTCTGTCAGGAGGAATGGGCCAAAATTCACCCAACTTATTGTGGGAAGCTTGTGGAAGGCTACCCAAAACGTTTGACCCAAGTTAAACAATTTAAAGGCAATGCTACCAAATACTAATTGAGTGTATGTAAACTTCTGACCCACTGGGAATGTGATGAAAGAAATAAAAGCTGAAATAAATCATTCTCTCTACTATTATTCTGACATTTTCAAATTCTTAAAATAAAGTGGGGATCCTAACTGACCTAAGACAGGGGATTTTTACTAGGATTAAATGTCAGGAATTATGAAAAACTGAGTTTAAATGTATTTGGCTAAGGTGTACGTAAACTTCCGACTTCAACTGTATACAGGATACTACCCTCCACAACAACCTTCACTCCAAATCAAAACTCTAAACCTACAACCTGATTTTGGACAAAATTACCTTGAAGGATACCTACAACCAAAGATTCATTTTTCCAAGGTCTATACAGCAAATGCTCTGGCAAACCAACGAACAGCAAAAGAAGCACAAGAAACCTGAAAACACCATCCAACCTGGAACTGAGTGAGTAATGTTTAGTTTGAAGTTACTTTTAAAGCCAAGAAGAAAAATTAATTACAATGATATATTTTACTTTATAAGGACTGATATGTAGTCAGGACACTTCAATTGTAAATTACCTCAATAAGAAACAATATTGTTGCTTTGATCACATCAGAAGATATCCTCCTCGCAATCTCCAAAATACAACAGCCACAGGACAACTTTGTTTGGATGTCGTAAAGGACCATTTGCCGAAACTGAAGAGATATAGCTAGCTAACTTCCTTTTCCACATGGAAAAAAATCGGTGGACAGAGACTTGCCAGCTACGTTAGCTAGTCAGCTGGGATTGTCTACGAGGAATCTGCCTCCGGAAAAAAGCTTATCCCAAATGGGTGTGACACCTACTCCCGTTGCCTGCTGCACTGCTGCTTGGATTCCACCTGGTGATCTGTTCACCGTCTGCCCTGGCCTGTCTCCCCCTGTCTGGTACAGGTACCCCCGCCACACTCCCCCCTCTCTCCCGAGCTTTCGCTCACCTCAAGCACACACGCACTGTTGGGGCGAGTGACTCTGAACTTACAATAGCTAGCCCCTTTTCTTGTGCTTTATGCTATTTGCCTCATGACTCCTGTGTGCTTTGTTGACTATTAACTTGCTTGTTTACCCAACTGTGGGACAGACTATGTTTGTTCCCACACTCGGGACTCTGACTCTCTATTGGTTACACAGATTCTTGGCCTCCCATCCTATTCTAACCACCTCTCGCCGGCTTTTGTATTCATGTTACCTGATGAAATTGCTGTACAATATGATCTTGTTGCCATCTAATGCACATTCAAATGTCATAAATCAACACTGCAGAGCTCTCCCTGTCCTCTGCCGTGCCCTGATTGTATAACTGCTGATGATATCTGGAAATGTGCACGAATACCCTGGCCCATCTACTGTTGCTAGCCCAGTTCTTGTACTCTGATATAATAATATAATAATATGCCACTTAGCAGACGCTTTTATCCAAAGCGACTTACAGTGATATCTGCTTCACTGATTTCTGCTCTGGTAAGAGCCTGGGTTTTCTGCACGTTAACACTAGAAGCTTATTACCTAAAATGGATCAATTGAAAGTGTGGGTTCACAGCTCCAATCCAGATGTGTTGGTCATTACTGAGACGTGGTTAAGAAAGAGTGTTTTGAACACTGATGCTAACCTTTTTCGGCCAGACTGATCTTCCAAAGGTGGTGGAGTGGCAATCTTTACCTAGGAACACCTTCAGTGCTTGGTTGTCTCCACCAAGTCTGTCCCCAAACAATTTGATTTGCTGGTTTTAAGCATTAAACTTTCAAATAGCTCTTTGTTGACTGTTGCTGGGTGTTATCGTCCACCATCAGCACCGGCCTGTACCCTAAATGCCCTAAGCTCTCTCCTGGTCCCTTACATTAAGTCTGAATTTTCCTGCTAGGTGACCTAAACTGGGACATGCTTAAACCACCTGACCAAGTCCTAAAGCAATGGGACTCCCTAAATATTTATCAGATTATTACCAATCACCCAGAAAAGGCTACTCTCCTTGACGTTATCCTCACAAATAATCCTGATAGGTATCAGTCTGGTGTTTTCTGTGAGGACCTTAGTGACCACTGTTTTATAGCCTGTGTTCGTAATGGCTGTTCAGTGAAACGACCTGTCCTGATTTGTCATAGACGCTTGCTAAAAGCTTTAATGAGCAAGCCTTCCTTCATGACCTGGCCTCTGTAAATTGGTATAGAATAATCTTGATCCCCAATGTCGTAGACGCTTGGACCTTCTTTTTTGATATTTTCAGTGGTATTGTTAACAAACACGCCCCCATAAAGAAAATGAGAATTATGGGTCTAATCCCAGTAAATTCTGGAAAACAGTTAAAGACCTGGAGAATAAACCCTCCTCCTCACAGCTGCCCATGTCCCTTAATGTTGATGATGTGGTTGTTACTGACAAGGAGCACATGGCTGAGCTCTTTAATCACCACTTCATTAAGTCAGGATTCCTATTTGACTCAGCCATGTCTCCTTGCCCGTCCATTTCCTCATCTCCCACCCCTTCTAATGCGACTAGCCCCGATGCTCCTCCCTCTTTTTCCCCTGCCCCGCTACAAAGTTTCTCCCTGCAGGCGGTCACTGAGTCCAAGGTGCTAAAGGAGCTTCTTAAACTTGACCCCAAAAAAACATCTACGTCAGATGGTTTAGACCCTTTCTTCTTTAAGGTTGCTGCCCCTATCATCGCCAAACCTATCTCTGACCATTTTAACTTGTCTCTCCTCTCTGGGGAGGTTCCCATTGCTTGGAAGGCAGCCACGGTGCGTCCTTTATGAAGCACAGTTCCCGCTCAGCCCAGTCAAAACTGTTCGCTGCTCTGGCACCCCAATGGTGGAACAAGCTCCCTCACGACGCCAGGACAGCGGAGTCACTCACCACCTTCCGGAGACATTTGAAACCCCACCTCCTTTAAGGAATACCTGGGATAGGATAAAGTAATCCTTCTACCCCCCCCCCCCCCAAAAAAAACAAAAAAAAAACATTGTAAAGTGGTTATCCCACTGGCTATAAGGTGAATGCACCAATTTGTAAGTCGCTCTGGATAAGAGCGTCTGCTAAATGATGTAAATGTAAAAATGTAAAGGGGGAGATCAAGCTGATCCTAACTGTTATAGGCCAATTTCTATTTTACCAGCTAAGGAGTATTGGTGTCTCTGAGGGGTCTTTGGCCTGGTTTGCTAACTACCTCTCTCAAAGAGTGCAGTGTATAAAATCAGAACATCTGCTGTCTCAGGCACTGCCTGTCACCAAGGGAGTTCCCCAAGGCTCGATCCTAGGCCCCACGCTGTTCTCAATTTACATCAACAACATAGCTCAGGCAGTAGGAAGCTCTCTCATCCATTTATATGCAGATGATATAGTCTTATACTCAGCTTGCCCCTCCCCGGATTTTGTGTTAAACACTCTACAACAAAGTTTCCAACAAGCTTTCTCTGCCCTTAACCTTGTTCTGAACACCTCCAAATCAAAGGTAATGTGGTTTGGTAAGAAGAATGCCACTCTCCCCACCGGTGTGATTACTACCTCTGAGGGTTTAGAGCTTGAGGTAGTCACCTCATACAAGTATTTGGGAGTATGGCTAGATGGTACACTGTTCTTCTCTCAGCACATATCAAAGCTGCAGGCTAAGGTTAAATCTAGAGTTGGTTTCCTCTTATCGTAATCGCTCCTCTTTCACCCCAGCTGCCAAACTAACCCTGATTCAGATGACCATCCTACCCATGCTAGATTACGGCGACATAATTTGTAGATCAGGAGGTAAGGGTGCTCTCGAGCAGCTAGATGTTCTTTACCATTCGGACATCAGATTTGCCACCAATGCTCCTTATAGGACACATCACTGCACTCTATACTCCTCTGTAAACTGGTCATCTCTGTATACCCGTCACAAGTCCCACTGGTTGATGCTTATTTATAAAACCCTCTTAAGCCTCACTCCCACCTATCGGAGATACCTACTGCAGCCCTCATCCTCCACATACAACACCCGTTCTGCCAGTCACATTCTGTTAAATGTCCCCAAAGCACACACATCCCTGGGTCGCTCCTCTTTTCAGTTCACTGCAGCTAGCAACTGGAACGAACTGCAAAAAACACTCAAACTGGACAGTTTTATCTCCATCTCTTCATTCAAAGACAATCATGGACACTCTTACTGACAGTTGTGGCTGCTTCGCGTGATGTATTGTTGGCTCTACCTTCTTGCCCTTTGTGCTGTTGTCTGTGCCCAATAATGTTTGTACCATGTTATGCTGCTACCATGTTGTGCTGCTGCCGTGTTGTGTTGCTACCATGTTGTTGTCATGTGGTGTTGCTACCATGCTGTGTTGTCATGTGTTGCTGCCATGCTATGTTGTTGTCTTAGGTCTCTCTTTATGTAGTGTTGTGGTGTCTCTCTTTATGTAGTGTTGTGGTGTCTCTCTTTATGTAGTGTTGTGGTGTCTCTCTTTATGTAGTGTTGTGGTGTCTCTCTTTATGTAGTGTTGTGGTGTCTCTCTTTATGTAGTGTTGTGGTGTCTCTCTTTATGTAGTGTTGTGGTGTCTCCCTTTATGTAGTGTTGTGGTGTCTCTCTTTATGTAGTGTTGTGGTGTCTCTCTTTATGTAGTGTTGTGGTGTCTCTCTTTATGTAGTGTTGTGGTGTGGTGTCTCTCTTGTCGTGATGTGTGTTTTGTCCTATATTTATATTTTTAATCCCCCGTCCCGGCAGGAGGCCTTTTGCCTTTTGGTAGGCCGTCTTTGTAAGTAAGAATTTGTTCTTAACTGACTTGCCTAGTTAAATAAAGGTTAAATACAAAATAATAGAGAGAAGGAAACCTCCAACTGGGCACTGCCAGCACCATCAATAAACAAGCGATATTGTCCAAATTATCCACAGCTACATGTCCTTAAACTGCCTAGAACAAATTACAAAAAAAACTATTTGTTGTGTTTCGATGTGTAACATATTCAAAACATTATAGTCTGTTATATTGTTTTTTACTTCCTAAAACAATAGTGGTCCACCTCACGGTTCAGTTGTCAGAGATTGGAGCGATAAATGCATCAGGGCATTGTATACATATACTGCAGGCCTATAGTCCTAGGCTTCCACTGTGTGATATTCATATTTACTAAATAAATATTTAAGGAGAGCTTAGGGCTAGCCCTAGAGAGACCGAGAGAAAGATAGAGATATGCCGGCGCCATGTTCCCGACATCAACACGGATGACTTTATACTTGTCAGGCTACTACTGCTATTCAGATATAGGCGTACAGAAGGAGGCTATTTCATTAATTTTCGCTCAGAGTATATTTTTTATAAAGATAACCATTATATTGTTAGTAACTCTGGTAGGCCTAAAACATTATTCCTCACCTCAAGTTCAACTGTGGGAGTCAGTTGGAGTGTCGGTGCACACTGCCTTCATAGGCCTGCTGTAGCTAAGCCTGATAATAGCCATACCAAACCAAACCTTCACAAAAGCTGCTTAATTTTAAAATAAAAAGTAAGTCAAGTCATTGTTTATAGGGAAAATACGAACAGGTTATTATATTGTGACATTAAATTAATTCCCAACAAAGGAGATTGCCTACCCAACAAATGACAGCAATAGGCTAATGTTATTTCTTTTAAAAGAGGCCTACTTTTAACCTTCAACTAAATACGGAGCACAAAATTAAAGAAAGTTAGAACTTGATTTAGCCAATGAAAATGTCTCAACAAAATGAAACGAAACACTTTTTGCGAAGGCTATTTAAAGAACCGCTTTAGATGATTAAATAGGCCTACAGTAGTAGTAATTATAATAATTATAATTTACAATTGATAATAAATACGAAAATAAATGAAAGGTAGGAAATTGCATCAAACCTGAATATCGAGTTGCACAAAGTATTTTTGGCCACGCCAACATTCTTCTCATCTTTGTCCACTACAATATTAAAACTTTTCCCCGAGGACATTCCCCTTGTTGGCTTCTTTTCACTACACTCTTTCTTCGCAATCAACAGTGGCCAAGGCTCCTCTCTCTCTTTCTCTCTCAATTCTTTTAAATTCAAAGGGCTTTATTGGCATGGGAAACGTTTACATTGTCAAAGCAAGTGAAATAGCTAATAAACAAAAGTGAAATAAACAATAGAAAAATGAACAGTAAACAGGAATAGACATTTCAAATGTCATTATGGCTATATGCAGTGTTGTAACGATGTGCAAATAATTGAAGTACAAAAGGGAAAATAAATAAACATACTGTAAATATGGGATGTATTTACAAAAACTGTGTCACCTGAAATGACATCTGCACAGTATTAATCTCTGAGATTATTTCAATAGAGCGTCGGAGAGAGTGACTATCCACAGCAGAGAGACGGGATCGTAAAGTAATATATTGTAATCGCCCCATCCTCATCCAAACCAGGACACGATGTACTCGCTTTCAGACAGCCGTCTCAATCTTCCGTTGTCTGCTTTCCAGCAATCTATCACCCCTTCTCTCTTTCTGTCTGTCTCTGTCTCTTTCTTCTGTTGGCCTCTTGTCTGCCTCTCTGTCTACCCGACAAGACAGACTAGGACAGCAGAGGAAGTAGACTCAGACAAAGAGACTTTCTGTCTTTCTTTTAATTCTCTCAGATCTTGTGGTCCATCTTCCTCTTGTCACTGTTATCTCTTGGTGCCACTCTCTGTGACGCCAAATATGTACCAAATGTGTGACTCTCCTCTCCTCTCTTCTCTCTCCCAGGTTGAAGAGACCTCCCATGGGGTACAGTGACACAGTGGCCTTCTCCATGGAGCACAGCTCCTACCAGTGCTTCAGGAAGAGTGCCAGATTTGGGAGGTGAGATGAGAACGCTCTATTCATCTGGAGGTCAACCTATGACACATCACCCGTATAGTCACATGACTCCTCTGGTTGCTTAAGTGCTGCAGGTGTCGAAAAAGGCCCAGTCCCAAATGGATGACTCACCCCTATCCCTTGGCACCTAGAAGCTATTCAAATCCCTCATATCTGTGACAAAAATATATGTAGTTCTGTCCTTGAGCTGTTCTTGTCTATTAATGCTCTGTATTATTTCAATTTTTTGTGTGGACCCCAGGAAGAGTAGCTGCTGCTTTTGCAACACCTAATGGGGATCCTAATAAAATACCAAATACAAAAGGTCAACAAGGGCCTAATGGTAAGAATAGATGATGGTATATCAGGCAGTTTGGGATGGCAGCCATAGTTTAAAGATGTCTATAAAGGAGGGATGGTTAACAATATATATCTCTACAGTTGGTTCAGTACTGAGGTTCTCCGGCTGTGTGCTCATGTTTGACATAGAGGAAGTTCTAATCTATGCAACTCCCCCATGGTAATGGATTACATTTATGAAGTGCATGTTATGAAATGACTCAACTGACAATCCAAAAGCACTCTCTGTTGATTGGGTCTAACTCACTTACATTCACTACCACAGCCTTTCATTTGAGATTCATATATGCTTTTTTGGTCCAGCAGAATGCTTACTGGTTGCTTAAGTGTTGTTATAGATGAGAAAAAGGCATTTAATGTAGCGTTTGAATAGAATAAAAGGTTTGAATGGTGGTCTGAGAATGACAGATTGTTCAGCACTACCTCTCAAATGCTTCAGTTTGACTTCATTCATTGAATATATCTTAATGAAACCTTTCATTACTTATTGTAAGCAACAGCAGTAAAATACTACCTGACTACAACAGCAGTAAAATACTACCTGACTACAACAGCAGTAAAATACACTGCTCAAAAAAATAAAGGGAACACTTAAACAATGTAACTCCCATCAATCACACTTTTGTGAAATCAAACTGTCCACTTAGGAAGCAACACTGATTGACAATACATTTCACATGCTGTTGTGCAAATGGAATAGACAACAGGTGGAAATTATAGGCAATTAGCAAGACACCCCCAATAAAGAAGTGGTTCTGCAGGTGGTGACCACAGACCACTTCTCAGCTCCTATGCTTCCTGGCTGATGTTTTGGTCACTTTTGAATGCTGGCGGTGCTTTCACTCTAGTGGTAGCATGAGACGGAGTCTACAACCCACACAAGTGGCTCAGGTAGTGCAGCTCATCCAGGATGGCACATCAATGCGAGCTGTGGCAAGAAGGTTTGCTGTGTCTGTCAGCGTAGTGTCCAGAGCATGGAGGCGCTACCAGGAGACAGGCCAGTACATCAGGAGATGTGGAGGAGGCCGTAGGAGGGCAACAACCCAGCAGCAGGACCGCTACCTCCGCCTTTGTGCAAGGAAGAGCAGGAGAAGCACTGCCAGAGCCCTGCAAAATGACCTCCAGCAGGCCACAAATGTGCATGTGTCTGCTCAAACGGTCAGAAACCGACTCCATGAGGGTGGTATGAGGGCCCGACGTCCACAGGTGGGGGTTGTGCTTACAGCCCAACACCGTGCAGGACGTTTGGCATTTGCCAGAGAACACCAAGATTGGCAAATTTGCCACTGGCGCCCTGTGCTCTTCACAGATGAAAGCAGGTTCACACTGAGCACATGTGACAGACGTGACAGAGTCTGGAGACGCCGTGGAGAACGTTCTGCTGCCTGCAACATCCTCCAGCATGACCGGTTTGGCGGTGGGTCAGTCATGGTGTGGGGTAGCATTTCTTTGGGGGGCCGCACAGCCCTCCATGTGCTCGCCAGAGGTAGCCTGACTGCCATTAGGTACCGAGATGAGATCCTCAGACCCCTTGTGAGATCATATGCTGGTGCGGTTGGCCCTGGGTTCCTCCTAATGCAAGACAATGCTAGACCTCATGTGGCTGGAGTGTGTCAGCAGTTCCTGCAAGAGGAAGGCATTGATGCTATGGACTGGCCCGCCCGTTCCCCAGACCTGAATCCAATTGAGCACATCTGGGACATCATGTCACGCTCCATCCACCAACGCCACGTTGCACCACAGACTGTCCAGGAGTTGGCGGATGCTTTAGTCCAGGTCTGGGAGGAGATCCCTCAGGAGACCATCCGCCACCTCATCAGGAGCATGCCCAGGCGTTGTAGGGAGGTCATACAGGCACGTGGAGGCCACACACACTACTGAGCCTCATTTTGACTTGTTTTAAGGACATTACATCAAAGTTGGATCAGCCTGTAGTGTGGTTTTCCACTTTAATTTTGAGGGTGACTCCAAATCCAGACCTCCATGGGTTGATACATTTGATTTCCATTGATAATTTTTGTGTGATTTTGTTGTCAGCACATTCAACTATGTAAAGAAAAAAGTATTTAATACGATTATTTCATTCATTCAGATCTAGGATGTGTTGTTTAAGTGTTCCCTTTATTTTTATGAGCAGTGTACTACCTGACCTCAACAGCAGTAATATACACTACCTGACTACAACAGCAGTAATATGCACTACCTGACCTCAACAGCAGTAATATACACTACCTGACTACAACAGCAGTAATATACACTACCTGACAACAACAGCAGTAATATACACTACCTGACCTCAACAGCAGTAATATACACTACCTGACCTCAACAGCAGTAATATACACTACCTGACAACAACAGCAGTAATATACACTACCTGACTACAACAGCAGTAATATACACTACCTGACTACAACAGCAGTAGTATACACTACTTGACTACATCAGCAGTAAAATACTACCTCACAACAACAGCAGTAATATACACTACTTGACTACAACAGCAGTAATATACACTACCTGACAACAACAGCAGTAATATACACTACCTGACTACAACAGCAGTAATATACACTACTTGACCTCAACAGCAGTAATATACACTACCTGACTACAACAGCAGTAATATACACTACCTGACCTCAACAGCAGTAATATACACTACCTGACTACAACAGCAGTAGTATACACTACTTGACTACATCAGCAGTAAAATACTACCTCACAACAACAGCAGTAATATACACTACTTGACTACAATAGCAGTAATATACACTACCTGACCTCAACAGCAGTAATATACACTACCTGACCTCAACAGCAGTAATATACACTACTTGACTACATCAGCAGTAAAATACTACCTCACAACAACAGCAGTAATATACACTACTTGACTACAATAGCAGTAATATACACTACCTGACTACAACAGCAGTAATATACACTACCTGACCTCAACAGCAGTAATATACACTACCTGACTACAACAGCAGTAATATACACTACCTGACCTCAACAGCAGTAATATACACTACCTGACCTCAACAGCAGTAATATACACTACCTGACTACAACAGCAGTAATATACACTACCTGACAACAACAGCAGTAATATACACTACCTGACTACAACAGCAGTAATATACACTACCTGACCTCAACAGCAGTAATATACACTACCTGACCTCAACAGCAGTAATATACACTACTTGACTACATCAGCAGTAAAATACTACCTCACAACAACAGCAGTAGTATACACTACTTGACTACAACAGCAGTAATATACACTACTTGACTACAACAGCAGTAATATACACTACTTGACCTCAACAGCAGTAATATACACTACCTGACTACAACAGCAGTAATATACACTACTTGACTACAACAGCAGTAATATACACTACTTGACCTCAACAGCAGTAATATACACTACCTGACTACAACAGCAGTAATATACAGTGCATTCGGAAAGTATTCAGACCCCCCCCATCAATCTACACACTTTTCCGCATAATGACAAAGCAAAAACAGGTTAGTAAAAGTTTTTGCAAATTGAAAAATAAAAAATATATGAAATATGACATTTACATAAGTATTCAGACCCTTTACTCAGTACTTTGTTGAAGCACCTTTGGCAGCGATTACAGCCTCGAGTCTTCTTGGGTATGATGCCACAAGCTTGGCACACCTGTATTTGGGGAGTTTCTCCCATTCTTCTCTGCAGATCCTCTCAAGCTCTGTCAGGTTGGATGGGGAGCGTCGCTGCACAGCTATTTTCAGGTCTTGCCAGAGATGTTCGATCGGGTTCTCAAGTCTGGGCTCTGGCTGGGCCACTCAAGGACATTCAGAGACTTGACCCGAAGCCACTCCTGCGTTGTCTTGGCTGTGTGCTTAGGGTTGTTGTCCTGTTGGAATGTGAACCTTTGCCCCAGTCTGAGGTCCTGAGTGCTCTGGAGCAGGTTTTCACTAAGGATCTCTCTGTACTTTGCTCCGTTCATCTTTCCCTCAAATCTGACTAGTCTCCCAGTCCCTGCCGCTGAAAAACATCCCCACAGCATGATGCTGCCACCACCATGCTTCACCATAGGGATGGTGCCAGGTTTCATCCAGATGTGACGCTTGGCATTTAGGGCAAAGCGTTCAATCTTGGTTTCTTCAGACCAGAGAATCTTGTTTCTCATTGTCTGAGAGTCTTTAGGTGACTTTTGGCAAACTCCAAGTGGGCTGTCATGTGCCTTTTACTGAGGAGTGTCTTCCGTCTGGCCACTCTACCATAAAGGCCTGATTGGTGGAGTGCTTATGTAAATAAGGTATTTCTGTTTTTTATTTTGTATACATTTGCAAAAATGTCTAAACCTGTTTTCACTTTCATTATGGGGTACTGTGTGTAGATTGATGATACATTTTATTTATTTAATCCATTTTAGAATATGGCTGTAACGTACCAAAATGTGGAAAAAGTCAAGGGGTCTGAATACTTTCCGAATGCACTGTATACTACCTGACTACACCAGCAGTAATATACTTCCTGATTACATCTGACAATGTTTTATACCCACTTTATTGATTTAGTTGAAAACCTAATTTAACAGAGTCTTTAGATGTCTTGTCAGTGTGTAATCACCAGATTTACGAGTATTACACATCATAGGCTGATTCATTTTGGTTCAGCGAATCACCAGCTATAGTGAGGAACATATTTAGAGACAGGCAAGAGGAGAGGTCGAGACAGGATTCTGATTAGGTTATTATTGCTACTTGCTAGCAGTGAAGATGCCCTGATGCTTATAGAATAGAATATTAAAGAGTAGAAAAGTTAACGTAGAAAAGAACAGAGCAGAACTTCTATATTCTATCAGCGTAGAAGCCATCCAGATATTTCACAGCTATTTTAACATGTTTATGTGTCCCTGTCTTGTCCTCCTGTACTGTTTTAGGCACCTGGTCAACTTCTTCCTGGTGTTGACACAGCTGGGATTCTGCAGTGCATACTTTGTGTTCCTGGCAGAGAATATCAAACAGGTAGGCTCTATTCCCACCAATCAAATACAGACCGGTGTGTTGTGTTCTTAAAAGCCTACCAATCAAAAACAGATGTGTGTTGTGTTTCTGTATACCCACCTATCAAATACAGATAGACCAGTGTGTTATGTTCTTAAAAGCCTACCAATCAAAACAAACGACTGTGGAAGTGTGTCAGTATTGCTGTCTATCAAAAGCAATGAAGTGTGTTGTCACTGACCAATCCAAATCAATCCTGTACAGATACTGAATTGGTATTATAAACTGGGTAGTTCGAGCCCTGAATGCTGATTGGCTGGCAGCCGTGGTATATTAGACCGTATACCACGGGTATGACACAACTTTTATTTGTACTGCTCTAATTACGTTGGTAACCAGTTTATAATAGCAATAAGGCACCTTGGGGGTTTGTGGTATATGGCCAATATACCACGGCTAAGGGCTGTATCCAGGCACTCCGCGTTGCATCGCGCTTAAGAACAGCCCTTAGCCATGGTATATTGGCCATATACCACACCCCTTCGGGCCTTGTTGCTTAATTATAACTTGATATTCTCAATAACCCATATTCAACTGAGCTGCCTAACTTATCAATCCCGGTTGCTTTGTGATGTACCCCTCAGTTAGATGGTGTGTTTGGAGGATAACCCCTCTTCGTCCCAACTCTTGAGCTGTTCTAATGGTTGACTTGCAGTGACACACAACGTTCCCTAGGAGATGCTAGTGGTGTTTCATCTCTGAGCGCTCTGCTTGCCTGACTTTCTCACCCTCTCTTTCTTTCTTTCTCTCTCTCTCTCGCTCCCTCACAATTTATAAACTGTCTATCTCTCTCTGTATTAGATGGTGATCTCCTCCTTATGGATTAGCATAGATAGCATAGGTAGTCAACCATTTCCATATATATGGACAACGATAAAGGCCTCATGCAGTGCCTCTTTAATTCAAAACTCAAATGTGATTATTTAGTAGGACATTGCAAGGAGTAGTGCTATCAGAGTGATGAAGTATGGTACAATCTTCTATTGAAATGGACTGAAACTCTAAAACACTTATGACAGAACATTTTAAAAATCAATTTCTCTCTCCTCTCCTGTGTCTCTCTATCTTTTTGTCTCTCCTTCTCTTTCGATCTCTGTCTGTCTCTAACAAAGTTTATTGTTATTTATTGGGTTGCAACTCCTCAATCCAAACATGTAGCATCATTAGGCATTCTGCTAACTGACCTCACACGTACTCTCTGTGGTCTCAGCTCATCAGAAAACGTTTACTGCTGTACCCGGGTCTCTCTGTGTTTGGACTCAATATACTAATTGTTTACGCTCATATAGTAGTACACAATTTAAGATGTATTCGTCCAAAGCTGAGCAAAGCTTCTTATTGGTAGTTAAACAAACAGTGTGGTTGAACAGGGAAAAGCCACCAGAGCTTAAACATTTTCAAACATGGCAGATTAGATGTTTGTCTAGTTATTCTGAATTAGAAAAAGTAAACAGAGGAATCTGATACAATATATAGATGGCTTTAATGCTCTGTATGGCGCTGGTTGGTTGGCTTGTTACATTGTGGGTCCATCTCTATCCCAGACTAGGTTCTAGTACCTTTGTTTTCACTATGTAAATTATCTGTCAAACTCTTTAAAATCTACAATATGCCATTTTCACAGTTTTTATCCATGTCGACCACTTAGCCAGAGGTGGAATGTGCACCATGTAGCCTTTTTGTTCTGGACAGCCATTGGTCCATACTAGAGGTGTGCCCTCTTTAGAGGACATTGGGTCTGCCCACGTTGTTTATATTATAGTACTTTATTTGCAAAAAGACTTGTTTATTAAAGGCAGGATTTTCTATTTATATTGACAAGATATTCCATTGACCGCTCTAACAATGGAAATGCATGTCCTCAAAGATGGAAGGCAGGCCGGGAGGAGGCGAGATCTGGTGGTACCATTCTAGCTAATGAGAGGGCAGATACGCATGTGAACAACCGGCCATAGAGATAGAGGACTCATCTTTTATCATTGTCCATACTCAATAAATAATAGGTTACTGGATATATTTCAGTAGAGGTCTTTGGGACATGTATGTAAGTAGAATATGTAGTATCTAACTGGACTGGTGTCCATCTCCTCTCTATGGTGCTTAGTTATGAGACGGTGTGATGCAGTATTCCTCCTTATGGGATTATATGAGGCTATATCATTGTGCATTATTTAAAACTAGTTGTCTAGAGCAGGGTTTCCCAAGGAAGGAAGCCCTGTACTACTCTATCATATGAAATCACAACTACACACTGCTCTCTCTCTCTCTCTCTCTCTCTTTCTATCCCCCCATTCTCTCTCTCTTGCTCGCTCGCTCTCTCTCTTTCTTGCATTATTTATTTCCTGACATCCACAACAAACAAGCTTACACGCATAAACATAGTAGATATTCAGTTTACTACACAGATTATACAAGCAGGCATACATTACTGTAGTAAATGCACTCTCGGGGATATGCCATTGAACCTACAGCAGCACATACAAGTAACTGCCAAAATAAAGGGAACGCCAATAAAAAGTGTCTTACTAGAGCGTTGGGCCACCATGAGCCGCCAGGCATAGATTCTACAAGTGTCTGGAATGCTATTGGAGGGATGCGACAACATTCTTCCACTAGAAATTCCATCATTTGGTGTTTAGTTGATGGTGATGGAAAACGTGGTCTCAAGTGCCACTCCAGAATCGCCCACAAGTGTTCAATTGGGTTGAGATCTGGTGACTGAGACACACACACACTTTAAACCCCCTATGCTCCTTTGAGACCTCTCTTTCAAAGTAACTGAGCTCTCATCTAGCCATGGTGGACAAAATAATATATACTGAACAAAAAGCTGAAATAAAAAATCCCAGAAATGTTCCATACGCACAAAAGGCGTATTTCTCTCAAATGTTGTGCCCAAATTTGTTTACATACCTGTTAGTGAGCATTTCTCCTCAATCCACCTGACAGGTGTGGCATATCAAGAAGCTGATTAAACAGCATGATCATTACAAAGGTGCACCTTGTGCTGTGGACAATAAAAGGCCACTCTAAAATGTGCAGTTTTGTCACTACACAATGCCACAGATGTCTCAAGTTCTGAGGGAAGCGTGCAATTGGCATGCTGACTGCAGGAATGTCCACCTGAGCTGTTTCCAGAGAATGTAATATACATTTCTCTACCATAAGCCACCTCCAACGTCGTTTTATACAATTTGACAGTGCGTCCAACCTGTCTCATAACCACAGACCACGTGTAACCACGCCAGCCCAGGACCTCCACATCCGGCTTCTTCACCTGCGGGATCGTCTGAGACCAGCCACCCAGACAGCTGATGAAACTGAGGAGTATCTATTTGTAAGTCGCTCTGGATAAGAGCGTCTGCTAAATGACGTAAATGTAAACGTAAATGTATTTCTGTCTGTAATAAAGCCCTTTTGTGGGGAGAAACTCATTCTGATTGGCAGGTCCTGGCTCCCCCACGGCTGTGCCCCTGCCCAGTCATGTGAAATCCATGAATTAGGGCTGAATGAATTTATTTCAATTGACTGAATTCCTTCAATGAACTGTAAATTCGTTGAAATTGTTGCATGTTGTATTTATATTTTGACCCTCTACCAGCTGTAGCTCAGCTGGTAGAGCACGGCGCTTGTAACGCCAAGGTAGTGGGTTCGATCCCCGGGACCACCCATACACAAAAATGTATGCACGCATGACTGTAAGTCGCTTTGGATAAAAGCGTCTGCTAAATGGCATATTATTATATTATTATGTTAATTACTTAATTAACTCAGGAACCACACCTGTGTGTAAGCACCTGCTTTCAATATACTTTGTATTCCCAAAGATTGTCTATTATATTGACAAGATATTCCAGTGACCGCCTGCCTTCAAAGATGGAAGGCAGGCGGGAGGAGGCGAGATCAGGTGGGACCATTCTAGCCAATGAGAGGGCAGATAAGCATATGAACAGCCGGCCATAGAGACAGAGGAATCATCTTTGTATCTGTGCCATTATAGCCTTAATGGCGCTGCCCATGCTGTCACAGACGCTATCTCCATTTTCAAGTAGTCCATTTTCTTCTTCTTCATTGTCTGATTGCTCCCAACTTTGTAATCCCCACCCAGTTGACTACTTTAAAATGGTGGAAGCCCTCAATGGCAATGTCCATGTTAAAATGGGTTATATCTAGCCCTCAATGGCAATGTCCATGTTAAAATGGGTTATATCCATGATGAGTCCTCTATCTCTTTGACAACAGGCACAGTCATTTTTTTCAAAGTTGCCGACATGCCACGTGCGTTCACTTATATCAGTGCATTCGTAACAACCTAACCATTACAAAACTTAGAGTCGATCAAATAAGCCTCACGAAGCAAATTAGCAATTAAGTTTGATGACCAACTTCGACACTTTCTCATTGACCCCCCCATACAAAAATTCCTCAATTCGTCTGCTTATTTTCGTGGACAGATTTTGGGCGGAGTAAAACCTCTCGCTTCACCTCTTCCTCTCTTGTATCCCTCATTTACTCAAGTGTTTCCTTTATTTTGGCAGTTACCTGTACATACCCATCTCTGTATGTGTTCGTAGTATGACAATAGCTAGCTACATACATAGAGTACTGTATACACATACTGCTGATGGATTATGGGTGACATATGGAGTTGCTGTGTAGATGGATCTGTAAAGTCATTCCATTAGTGAGTGAAGAATGTGGTGAGTGGGGGGTGATGTGAAGAATGTGGTGAGTGGGGGGTGATGTGAAGAATGTGGTGAGTGGGGGGTGATGTGAAGAATGTGGGGGGTGATGTGAAGAATGTGGTGAGTGGGGGGTGATGTGAAGAATGAATAAACTCTTTAGTTAGATTTATTGAATCATTCTTTAAACCAAGGTCATCAATTGAGAACCTGTTTTTTATTTAAAATAACACCCTTAGTAGAGCGAGGTGGTGAGTGAGTGGTGACTTATGGTAATTTTAAATGAGTGGATGGGTGAACGAACTACACGCTGTATTTCCAGGTAGCACCATTTCTCTCTATGCATACGTAGCCATCCAGCTCTGGGACTGGGAGACTAGCGGTTAAGAGCGTTGGGCCAGTAACCGAAAGGTTGCTTGTTCGAATGCCCGGGACAAACTAGGTGAAATATCTGTCTGTGCCCTTGAGCAAGGCACTTAACCCTAATTGCTAAACTAAGTCGCTCTGGATAAGAGTGTCTGCTAAATGACTAAAATGTATAAGCAGACAGTCTAATTTAATGAACCCCTGATCTGCTTTCTATCCTGTCTGAGCTGTGGGATAAGATGTAATCATGGGGAGATAATTTGGAGCCCCCACTCCCTCCTCTCCTCTCCTCTACCCCCCCCCCCCCCCCATTTCTAGTCCTCTCCCTGGTGTTGTGTTGAATATTCATTAATCCCAGAAAGTTTTCTGATCTTTATTTCTCTGGGAAAGTTTTTTGTTGTTGATAGAAGCGGGAGAGCTGCTTATCGACAAGCAAGAGGCCAATCCACTTCTTCACTTCCATGATAAGCTCCTAAATAAAATGGTTTTCTCTGCGAGGAGAGAACACGCAGCAGCCTTAATTGCTGTCTGTAGATTTAGTGGGATCTCTATCTGAAGGTGCCTTCCTGAAGGTCAACAGGGTGAAGGGGAGAGGTGAACAGACCACCATTAATCACACCTTTTTGTGTGTGTGTGTGTGTGTGTGCGCGCATGCGTATGCCTGTGTGTATCCATTCCTTCCTCTCTAGGTCGTTGAGGGCTACCAAGGTGTAAACATCACCCTGGCAGATGAATCCTTGTCCTTTGCCAACACCTCCATGGTGCCAGCCCTGGTCCCTCTACCCACCATGGTGCCCTCTGAGCCCTGGGCGCTGGACCTGCGTCTCTACATGCTCTTCTTCCTGCCCTTCCTCATCCTGCTGGTGTTCATGAAGGACCTGAAGAACATGGCCGTCCTGTCGTTGCTGGCCAACGTCTGCATGGCCGTCAGCGTCATCATCATCTTCCAGTACATCACGACGGTAAGCATGTTGTGGTTTATACTGTTGTTGTTGTTTTGGCCAGGGGGGCTTTACTTGGCTCATCGCGCTCTAGTGACTCCTTGTGGCGGGCCAGGCGCCTGCAGGCTGACTTTGGTCGTCAGTTGAACAGTGTTTCCTCCGACACATTGGTGTGGCTGGCTTCCGGGTTAAGCGGGCGGGTGTTAAGAAGCACGGTTTGGTGGGTCATGTTTTGGAGGACGCATGACTCGACCTTCGCCTTTTCCGAGCCCATTGGGGAGTTAAATAGTGAGCATCTTTGGGCAATTACCAATTGATTGTGAACAATCTGGTGTCTGAGTGTGTGTGTGTGTAAGTGGGAACTGGGAAGTAGCTCCCTGTGGCCTGCATACATCCGCTGTGGAAGATCGTACCCTTTGTCTGTACTGTCTGCTTCTGTGAAACATGAGACTCCCTTGTATCCACTACACATTTTACATTTACATTTTAGTCATTTAGCAGACGCTCTTATCCAGAGCGACTTACAGTTAGTGCATACATTATTATTTTTCATACCCCCTGTGGGAATCGAACCCACAACCCTGGCGTTGCAAACGCCATGCTCTACCAACTGAGCTACATCCCTGCCGGCCATTCCCTCCCCTACCCTGGACGACGCTGGGCCAATTGCGCGCCGCCCCATGGGTCTCCCGGTCGCGGCCGGCTACGACAGAGCCTGGATTCGAACCAGGATCTCAAGTGGCACAGCTAGCACTGCAATGCAGTGCCATAGACCACTGCGCCACTCCTGTGTAGTGCTGAGTGATTAACCGATTTTTAAACTACTAATTTACCGGGGGGTTTTCTGTGAGCTCGATGTGCAGTTTCTGTAGAGATAAATCAGATCAAGCCTGAACTGTGCGATGTATTAGGGAGTTGTAGTTTCCAGCAGGCCAATATTCTACATAGTTTAGCGCAGAAATCGTGGTAATTAACTACAATGCTCGCTTAAACTTGTCCGGTCTGTGCGGAGCAGACACGGAGACTGAGGGAAGAGAGAGCCACGCGATGGAGAGGGATAGAGAGCAGTTGCTTCGCGAGCCTGAAAATACATCATCTAAGTGATCGATAGTTGGTATTCAGCAGTCATAAAAGTACCCCATGGAAAAAAAAGTATTAAAAAATAAATACTGATTATTTAAAAAATCTTTACAAAAGTTGTACCTTGGGCCTTTAATAGTCCTGTATTAGCGGACCGATATAGCCGTGTGTAGGATATAGCCGTCTGTAGGATATAGCCGTCTGTAGGATATAGCCGTCTGTAGGATATAGCCGTCTGTAGGATATAGCCGTCTGTAGGATATAGCCGTCTGTAGGATATAGCCGTCTGTAGGATATAGCCGTCTGTAGGATATAGCCGTCTGTAGGATATAGCCGCGTGTAGGATATAGCCGCGTGTAGGATATAGCCGTCTGTAGGATATAGCCGTCTGTAGGATATAGCCGTGTGTAGGATATAGCCGTGTGTAGGATATAGCCGTGTGTAGGATATAGCCGTGTGTAGGATATAGCCGTCTGTAGGATATAGCCGTGTGTAGGATATAGCCGTGTGTAGGATATAGCCGTGTGTAGGATATAGACCGTGTGTAGGATATAGCCCGGGTGTAGATATAAGCCGTCCTGTTAGATATAGCCGTGGTGTAGGATATAGCCTCGTTGTAAGATATAGTCCGTGTGTAGGATATAGCCGTTGTGTTAGTGATATAGCCGCCTGTAGGTATATAGCCAGCCGCGTGTAGGATATAGCCGCGTGTAACGATTTTTTTCAGCAACATGGTTCTCCCTTGTAGCCACTACACGTCTCCTGTGGAACATGGTTCTCCGGGCCATTTCCAATAAAGTATAGGGTCCATTGTTTGGCTATGGCTGGTCTTTACAATGAAAGATTGAACAGTTAGTGTCAGGGTGCACTTAGTTTCTATGAGCGATGAGGAACAACTTTTAAAAGCTTGTCTACTTGGACCGTTCTCAAGGTCATTCTAAGAATACAATTAGGCATTTTGGAGCAGATTGACATCAGATGTAAATGTTCCTGACGTGTGGTGTAATCCAGCGTTGATTGCTGTTTTAGATTTCCCACAGAAGGTTGTGCCAGCCAGGGTTGTGTATATGCGAGTGTGTGTGGCACAGCTCATCCCTCAGCTCTGTGTGTGTGTGGGTGGGTGGCAGGGCAGTGTTCCGGGCAGTGGTCTAGGTGCCCTTGTGAACAGCCCTCATCAATCACCAGTTGAATTATGTTTTAAATAGATTCATTAGGGACCCCTGTCAGTCGCAGGGCATCTCTGTGTGACGCGGTAGACGACACGCGTCCACAGGGGAACACAACACTGCATCCCTAATTCACCATTAGGTCACCTAGCCGTCAACCCCACAACCTTTCTCCATTTTTCCTCCCTCTCTTTCTGTTCTGTCTCTTAATCTCTGACTGATGTGTTACGGACTCTTTCTCTTACTGTTCTTTCTTTCTTTCCTTCCTTCCACTCTTGCTCTGCGCCTGGGATTCTTATTTTCCTCTGTTCTCTCTCTCTCTCTCTCTCTCTCTCTCTCTCTCGCTGTTTCACTCGGTTTTATCTGTGAGTCTTTCACTGTGTCTCTGAGCCAGTGTCTCTTGTGTCCTTGGCAGTGATGAGGAAGTAGATTCTGTTCTATAGGCCCTTATGGGAGTAGCTCCTCTGACAGACTGTGTCATTGTCCTTGTTTTCCTAAACGCCTGCTCCTCTGTCTGCTGTCGCCCCTCTCTGACAGGATTTTGGGGACCTTCAGCGTCTCCCTCTCACTTCCCCCTTGGCCAAGTTCCCCTTCTTCTTCGGAACAGCCATCTTTGCCTTCGAAGGCATCGGAGTGGTAAGTACTCTTCAACAACTGGCACTCCATTTGTCCCAAACCCTTATGTACTTAGTAACACCTGATAGGTTCCGGCACTTATGTGACCGGCTTTGGATTGGCTGATGACTGGGGCCCACGGGCCACAGCTGCAGTTGAAAGCCTTGAACACTGCGTGGCTAAGAGAATGTTCAGGTCAAGGATAGCATTAGTGTTAATGTCATATAATTGATCCAGGGTGAATAGTGAGGATGGTGAGAGCATTAACCTAATTTCACCCTCAGAGGTGTCGTAGACAACCGGATGCATCCGGTTTTCTGGGGAAATGGAAAGAGAGCCTGACTTCCGCTTTTGGACGTTAACAAGGCGACACCACTCCATCTTAACTCCTCCTCCACATTTACTGGATTGGTTGAACAGTGCAGAAGATAACCTCCCCCGGCAGTTAATTTTTTCTCATCAGGACCAGAAAGAAAGAAACGCTGCTCAGGTGTTTCTTTTATGCCTGCTACGTTAGGTTAACCTTAGCTAGGTTAAATGCTGACCTCAGATGAGGGGGTTGAAGAATGGAAAGGTCCAATGCTAACTCCTGGTGAGAGGGTTAAACTGAGCTAATCAGAGGGTTAAGCTAACGCTAACCTTCAGCTGGAGCTGGGGATTCAGTGGGGATGGGGATGGTGTCCTGCAGATAAGGCTGTGTTTGTGTGTGTGTGTTTGAATGTGTCTGTGTGTGTGTGTGCGTGCGTGTGTGTGTTTAAATGTGTCAGAATGTGTGTGTGCCCGCCGTGGGCATGATGATGTATGAGGTGGTACCAGGGTGTATTGAGAGAGGGGCAGAGGAATGCACACTCACCGCCGCTAACCCATTAATCAGCCAACCGGCGGGCACAGGGTGATGGCCGACACGTCACCACGACAGACGGAGACGACAGTAAGGCCACTCCGGATCAGAACATCTCCCTAGAGAAAGAGAGAGGGAGGAGAGGAAGAAGGAGAGAAGAGAGTACAAAAAAAGAGAAAGGTTGTGGAGAGAATTGCAGACACTGCTCCTGCTCAGATAGGGATAGATGGCCAGGAAGAAAGAAAGAATGAAAGTAGTTAGGCCTCCTCAAGCTAGCCCATTCCACTTTCTCTCTCTCTCTGGGAGTGATCCACCACCATATGGGTTCTCTCAGTCACCCTGACAGGGTTATTATCCGCCTGGGGATGCGATATTCACACCAATCCCCTGGGATAAGCAATGGGGAAGGGAGAGAGCCGGCCTGAAACGTGTGTCACTGGGCCAATTGGGAATAACTGATTGGCCGGCGCTGCTGCTGCCAGTAAAAAGGGAACTAACCGAGAGAAGGGGTTGGGTTACATTTACATGTTAGTCATTTAGCAGATGCTCTTATCCAGAGCGACTTACAGTTAGTGAGTGCATACATTTTTCATACTGTCCCCCCCGTGGGAAACGAACCCACAACCCTGGCGTTGCAAGCGCCATGCTCTACCAACTGAGCTACAGGGGTTAAATGCGGAATACACATTTCGGTTGAGTGCATTCAGTTCTGCAACTGATTAGGTATCCCTTTTCCTTTCCACATCTCCAGTAGGCACTTGACTAATATTATTTACATTTGACATTTTAGTCATTTAGCAGACGCTCTTATCCAGAGCGATTTACAGTTAGTGAGTGCATACATTTTTCATACTGGCCCCCCGTGGGAATCGAACCCACAACCCTGGCGTTGCAAGCGCCATGCTCTACCAACTCTACCAAGCGCCATGCTCTACCAACAGGAGGGCATAACTATGGTTCCTTCCAGCACTACAAACTGGGCCAAAGTGCTTTGGTGTGCTTCTCACTTACTGACATACCTTTTATCTGTACATTCTCCACCTGCCTCTCCAGCGCAGGGTTTATAAAGCAGAGAAATAGTTCAGCTCCCTGCAGATACTCTTGGAGCTAACGCTAATTGTGTTGGCTAGGCCAGCTAAAGGTAGTCTGTTAGGTGTTTTGGCTTTGGGCTTCAGGGTTTAAAGGAAGGTTATTAAGGTGGGTTGTGGGGGCCTGTTTCTTTCCAAACAATCATCTTAACCCCCTTTAATCCTCACCTTGTCTAATGATCTCTCTCCCTCCTCTCTCAAGGATAAACTAACAGACTGTAAGTAAGTATTTTAAGACGGTAGATTAGCCCAAGGCTGCGTGCTGCACCTTTGGATGCCTCTGCTTTTGATTCCAGGAAGTTTATAGGTAGCAAGTGTTTGGACTCTTACCTCTCACTCTTCCATCAAGTCGAGGGGCATTTAGCAGATGGATACAGGCCCCGGGCTAAAGTATTTTGGTGAATTTGTTCAAGTTTTCTCCTTTGGCTCCGGAGGGGGAGAGGGAGGGGGGGGAGGGGGAGAGGGGAGGAGGAGAGGGAGAGGAGGGGAGAGAGAGGGAGAGGGGGAGAGGGAGAGCGAGAAAAGTGAAAAAAAAGGTAGTGAGGCACAGAATAATTTTTCTAATATTTGTTTAAAGAGAGACCACTACTCATGGATATTGAGAGAGCCTCCCTGGTCCTCTTGGCAGGTTATTTGTATACTGTGTAAATAGCCTATTTTGTGCAGAGAGAGCGAGAGCGAGAGCGAGATTTCCATTACTTTGATCTCTCCACTTTCCCTGAGCTTTGCTTTCTACTTGAAAGGAGAAGGCTTTGCTGCTTATTTTGTGTGGTCACTCTACAGTAGATCCACTGTGCACCAAGAGATCAGTTGCCAGTGATCTACTCCTCTGATTTACATAATACTGCTCTGGGATCCTCTGGGGATCAGTATTTTTTTCAGAAAGCCACTCTGTAGAGAGAGAAAGAGAGGACATTTTAAACTACATCTGTTAAAGGAGAAGTTTACTTTTTCTGAACCAAATCAAAATGCTTGTTATAGAAGGGTCCAGACACTTTTTTTTTGCAATTTCACTTGGTTTTGAGAAACTTACCCCAACTTCCTCATTGTTAGTTCTGCAGTATGGGGGCCGCATATAAACATGAACAAAGGCTCCAAAAACACCCAAATACTTCCCTTTAGAAATGGCAAAGCTCCAAGTATAGTGATGCAGGTCTTTTTAGATGTTGTACACATGAAATTGTCATTCCGAACTTTATCCGCAATGTTATATTCCATTGTGTTGCGACTCGAGCGAAACCTCTATGTACAGCTGGATAGGGGAAACCGCTCTAGTCGCACAAAATGGAAGATAACGTTGCAGATAAAGTTTGAAATGACACGATTTTGTGTCAGACCCTCAGGTTTAGAAATATCTGGTTTGCATTATCTTTCTTTTTTCTCTTTCTTGTTCTCTCTCTCTCTCTCTCTCTCTCTCTCTCTCTCTCTCTCTCTCTCTCTCTCTCTCTCTCTCTCTCTCTCTCTCTCTCTCTCTCTCTCTCTCTCTCCCCATTCCCCTCTTTCCCCCTTTTCTAACAGCAATGTTGACCTAGTAAGTGCAGCAGGCAAAACAAGTTTTCCCTCTGCCTTGTGTCTTAATCTGTTTTCCAGAGCCCCCTTTCTCCTCCGTGGCTCACCTACCTGGCTCTATCGATTCCTTGTCCCTAGTTTCTTTCTCTTTAATGGCAGCTCTAGTCTTCTCCTATGGCCTGCTGGAGACACTCTTCTTTTGAACTAAAATTCTGAGGCTGAAGCTTCAGCTGGCCAGCCTGATCGATTGAAATTCCAGAATGAGAAATGTAGCAGAGGACATAAATATTGCAATGAGGGATGGGGATTCGGCTCTTGCCTCAAACCAGGTTTTTATTGGGCTGTGGGTTTCTTAAAGGCTCTCTGGGGTGTGGAGGCTGACTGTTATGTACAGTGGCTTGCAAAAGTATTCACCCCCCTTGGCATTTTTTGTATTTTGTTGCCTTACAACCTGGAATTAAAATTGTTTTTTGGGGGGTTTGTATCATTTAATTTACACAACATGCCTACCACTTTGAAGATGCCAAAATATTTTTTATTGTGAAGCAAACAAGAAATAAGACAAAAAAAACAGAACTTGAGCGTGCATAACTATTCACCCCCCCAAAGTCAATACTTTGTAGAGCCACCTTTTGCAGCAATTACAGCTGCAAGTCTCTTGGGGTTTGTCTCTATAAGCATGGAAAATCTAGCCACTGTGATTTTTTTCCCATTCTTCAAGGCAAAACCGCTCCAGCTCCTTCAAGTTGGATGGGTTCCGCTGGTGTACAGCAATCTTTAAGTCATACCACAGATTCTCAATTGGATTGAGGTCTGGGCTTTGACTAGGCCATTCCAAGACATTTAAATGTTTCCCCTTAAACCACTCGAGTGTTGCTTTAACAGTATGCTTAGGGTCATTGTCCTGCTGGAAGGTGAACCTCCGTCCCAGTCTCAAATCTCTGGAAGACTGAAACAGGTTTCCCTCAAGAATTTCCCTGTATTTAGCGCCATCCATCATTCCTTCAATTCTGACCAGTTTCCCAGTCCCTGCCGATGAACAACATCCCCACAGCATGATGCTGCCACTACCATGCTTCACTGTGGGGATGGTGTTCTCGGGGTGATGAGAGGTGTTGGGTTTGCGCCAGACATAGCGTTTACCTTGATGGCCAAAAAGCTCAATTTTAGTCTCATCTGACCAGAGTACCTTCTTCCATATGTTTGGGGAGTCTCCCACATGGCTTTTGGCAAACACCAAACGTGTTTGCTTATTTTTTTCTTTAAGCAATGGCTTTTTTCTGGCCACTCTTCTGTAAAGCCCAGCTCTGTGGAGTGTACGGCTTAAAGTGGTCCTATGGACAGATACTCCAATCTCCGCTGTGGAGCTTTGCAGCTCCTTCAGGGTTGTCTTTGGTCTCTTTGTTGCCTCTCTGATTAATGCCCTCCTTGCCTGGTCTGTGGGTTTTGGTGGGCGGCCCTCTCTTGGCAAGTTTGTTGTGGTGCCATATTCTTTCAATTTTGTTTAATGGTGCTCTGTAGGATGTTCGAAGTTTCAGAATTTTTTTTATAACCCAACCCTGATCTGTAATTCTCCACAACTTTGTCCCTGACCTGTTTGGAGAGCTCCTTGGTCTTCATGGTGCCACTTGCTTGGTGGTGCCCCTTCCTTAGTGGTGTTGCAGACTCTGGGCCCTTTCAGAACAGGTGTATATATACTGAGATCATGTGACAGATCATGTGACACTTGGATTGCACACAGGTGGACTTTATTTAACTAATTATGTGACTTCTGAAGGTAATTGGTTGCACCAGATCTTATTTTGGAGCTTTGTAGCAAAGGGGGGTGAATACATATGCATGCGCCACTTTTTCGTTATTTATTTTTACTAGTTATTTTTTCCATTTCACTTCACCAATTTGGACTATTTTGTGTATGTCCATTACATGAAATCCAAATAAAAATCAATTTAAATTACAGGTTGTAACGCAACAAAATAGGAAAAAAAACGCCAAGGGGGATGAATACTTTTGCAAGGCACTGTAATGCTAATACATGCACTGTGCTTGGATCCTGTACCCAGCGCTGCCTGCCTCTGTGCAGGAGGTGAGCGCTGTAGTGGGCTGATTGAGCCTTGCTCGCTGTAGGTTTCTGTATAATGAGAGTTCATCTAATGGCCCTGGCCAAGTTTGGAGAGTTTTGAAACCACTGGCTTACTCGTATGTATTCAGACATGCGTACATATAGACATACACATGACTACCTACACCCACAAATGCATATGCAGGGGTTCTTAGTAATGTAGGCTACACTCTCTTACTTATCGATATTCATGGAAACCCACTGTTCAGTGATATACAATGCCATGACATATGTACACAAGCACATCCCAAGCTCATTTTGACATACAGTGGGGAGAACAAGTATTTGATACACTGCCGATTTAGCAGGTTTTCCTACTTACAAAGCATGTAGAGGTCTGTAATTTTTATCATAGGTACACTTCAACTGTGAGAGACTCCAACCTCTCCACAATGGCCAAGACCAGAGAGCTGTGTAAGGACATCAGGGATAAAATTGTAGACCTGCACAAGGCTGGGATGGGCTACAGGACAATAGACAAGCAGCTTGGTGAGAAGGCAACAACTGTTGGCGCAATTATTAGAAAATGGAAGAAGTTCAAGATGACAGTCAATCACCCTCGGTCTGGCGCTCCATGCAAGATCTCACCTCGTGGGGCATCAATGATCATGAGGAAGGTGAGGGATCAGCCCAGAACTACACGGCAGGACCTGGTCAATGACCTGAAGAGAGCTGGGACCACAGTCTCAAAGAAAACCATTAGTAACACACTATGCCGTCATGGATTAAAATTCTGCAGCGCACGCAAGGTCCCCCTGCTCAAGCCAGCGCATGTCCAGGCCCGTCTGAAGTTTGCCAACGACCATCTGGATGATCCAGAGGAGGAATGGGAGAAGGTCATGTGGTCTGATGAGACAAAAATAGAGCTTTTTGGTCTAAACTCCACTCGCCGTGTTTGGAGGAAGAAGAAGGATGAGTACAACCCCAAGAACACCATCCCAACCGTGAAGCATGGAGGTGGAAACATCATTCTTTGGGGATGCTTTTCTGCAAAGGGGACAGGACGACTGCACCGTATTGAGGGGAGGATGGATGGGGCCATGTATCGCTCGATTTTGGCCAACAACCTCCTTCCCTCAGTAAGAGCATTGAAGATTTGTCGTGGCTGGGTCTTCCAGCATGACAACGACCCAAACACACAGCCAGGGCAACTAAGGAGTGGCTCTGTAAGAAGCATCTCAAGGTCCTGGAGTGGCCTAGCCAGTCTCCAGACCTGAACCCAATAGAACATCTTTGGAGGGAGCTGAAAGTCCGTATTGCCCAGCGACAGCCCCGAAACCTGAAGGATCTGGAGAAGGTCTGTATGGAGGAGTGGGCCAAAATCCCTGCTGCAGTGTGTGCAAACCTAGTCAAGACCTACAGGAAACGTATGATCTCTGTAATTGCAAACAAAGGTTTCTGTACCAAATATTAAGTTCTGCTTTTCTGATGTATCAAATACTTATGTCATGCAATAAAATGCAAATTAATTACTTAAAAATCATACAATGTGATTTTCTGGATTTTTGTTTTAGATTCCGCCTCTCACAGTTGAAGTGTACCTATGATAAAAATTACAGACCTCTACATGCTTTGTAAGTAGGAAAACCTGCAAAATCGGCAGTGTATCAAATACTTGTTCTCCCCACTGTATGTGCATACAAAAACAAGCATTCATGGCATGCCTATTTACACCCACTCAAACTCCAGTCTCCACATATGCAAACACACTTTGTCTCTGTCACACACTTTACCCACTCTGCCTCTGTCCAGTGTGATGTATGAACAGATCCACAACCTCCTTTCGCATGCACACACACGCTATACTCTGGCCCAAGACTAATGGTGGAGAGAATCTGCTTAGGGTAATATAATATCATACAGCTGTAATAGAATGTAAAGTGATCATGTTCTGTGTCTCACTGGTAGCATGGACCTTTTCTCTCATTACAAGGGGATTGTAGCCAACCAGAGGTCAGCAGTAGTTAGTTGAGTTCTCAACCTTTTGGCATGAACACAAAATGGCCGTTGGGTTGCTGTGGTGAGAGAAAGACGACACAATGACTCAGGTGATTGGCTTAAGGCTGCTACTCCTGACATGATTTGTTGCAAGGCGCTGTTGGCGGCAGGCAATTGGCTGAGAGGCAATAGCTGGCTAGGACTCCCTTCCCCACCGACAATCCCATATTGCCCTCTTTATTGCTTTAATACTAAATTGCCATCAATTAACATTTAATTAACCTTTAATTGATGACGAATTAGTTGGATAGGTCAACGAAGGAGAACTGTTGTAATGACTACAGGCGGAGCGAGAGAGAGAGGCTGTTCTTTAGAGTTATGTGTGACTACTTAATCTGCCTGCATATTAGCCGCTCGAGTGCTAAGGTAGTGGCGAGCGAGAGAGCATGTCTAACCGAAGGGGAGAGGGGGGCTGATGAACGTGATTCAACCTCGGTGTTGTGTCGGACGGACGCCTTGAGAAATAAATTACTTTTCACTTTGATTTTCACTGTCAAGAACACATATAAAATTTAATCACTTTGATAAACTTCAAGTAGTTTCGTGTCCTCATTGAATCTTTTTTGTTTTCTAACCTCTCTCAATCGCTGACCTTGTCTGTTTGCTTTCCTTCTCTCTCTTTTTTTTCTCTTTCTGATTTGCCATCCTCCTCTCTACCCAGTGTACTTCTTTATCTTCCCTCTTCTCGCTCACCCTCGCTCTCCCTCGCTCTCCCTCGCTCTCTCTCACTCTCCCCCCTCTCTTCCCAGTCTTTATCCCTCAGTCTCTCCCCCTCTCTATCTCTCCTCCTCTCCTCCATCTCCAGCTCTCTCTTTCCTCAGTCCACATCTATGTCTCTGTATGTGGCTGCTCCTCTCTCATTAGTGGGCTGTTCCCCAGGCTGAGAGGTCAGTGTTATTAGCTTGTTAACTGAACCACCTGTTGTTCTTAGCTGAATGCGGACCAGCTGTCTATCCAATGCTGCAGTCTCACACACCCTGCTTGATGTGGCGGTAAGAAGGCAGGGGCTCCTGGCACGGTGGCTTTGGTCAGGTCTCTTAGATCAGTGGAGTTTTGGCATGTTACTTCTCTGGCTCTGAAGCACCTCAGTCACTGTTGGAGTCTTGGCTGGTTGGCCCTGTTACGGAGTTAATGTGGTTTGAGAGCAATGTGTCTTTTGAGATGTTTTGTTGTGAGCAAGGCAAGGTTCTTGGACAGGTAGCCAAACAGGAGAGGCCCTTTCCAACTTTTTATTGTGATTTAGATGTATCCACTAACTCTGACACAGAAATCTATATTCCTGTTGGCTGTGTGCTTTCATACCTTAGTCTAATAGTGTTTTGTATGCATAATCAGAGACCAGGTCATTGAAGTGTTCCCCATCCCTCTGTGTCTGTTAGCCTTGTTTGTGCTGCAATTCTTCTCACTTCGCTGCCAGACGAAGTCATGAATCAACAAATCAAACAGCAGTCAGAAACCCATCAGCCGCATCAGGAGGAGCGGTAACAAGCCCCTGTCAAGAAGTGATCAGTCACAGCGAACAAGGGAAGAGGGAAAGAAAAATAGATCCGTTCTTTGAATATGTATGTGACTTTGACAGCCAGGTTTAAACCTGTTCAAATGAAACTGTTGTTTACCCAAATTAGAAAGCATCCATATTTTCTCGAGGTAAGGAGGAGAAGAGAGAGCGGGAAGAGAGGGTGAGAGAGAAAGAAAGAGAGGAAATAAAAGAAAGAGAAAGGGTGTCTGGGGATCTAATTATGCCACGGTCTCTTTATGTGGAGGTTTGGTGATGAATGGCGATCATTAATCCTGCTGCCCAGATCGAGAGGCGTTCCCGGGGCGGAGAGCAGTTCCTCAGTCTGTGTGTGGTACTAGCAGTGATAATGTTCCCTGCCACCCTGTCATGCAGCATCCCTACGGGGCACGAGCCAAACGGCAACACCTCAAACATCCAACACCCACCCTCCCACTCACCCTGCATCCCAACTCTCCTCATCCCCAGCAAAAACTGAGAACTTGGTAAACTTCTGGGGCTAATGTAGGTCAGAGACTAGTCCTCCTAGCTGCTCTGTTATCATTCTCTATGCCAAGGGTTTGTTATTCAATAAAAGACTGATGATTTTAATCTTTTCATAGCTTTTTCAGATCTCAATACTTTGTTTTTCGGGGCACTGTTTCCAAACTTTTATTCAAGATAGTAATGTATTTTTCTTGTATTACTTTTATTATACAGCATTCCTGTTTTCTTGACAATTTGCGCTCCCTGTGTGTGTGTGTGTGTGTGTGTGTGGCAGGTTCTTCCTCTAGAGAACCAGATGAAGGAACCGAAGCGGTTCCCCATGGCTCTGAACATAGGGATGGGTATCACCATCGTCCTCTACGTTGTCTTGGCAACGCTAGGCTACCTCCACTTTGGTGACGACATCAAAGGAAGCATAACCCTTAACCTTCCTCACAACGCATGGTAAGCCCCATCACATAAACAGGAACATGGTGTATAGTTTACTGGGGGGGTAGACTTCTGCAGAGGCTCCAGTGAATGGTGTGCAGGCGAGAGAGGGAGAGAACTAATTTATTTCCATAATGCGGTAGGACACGGTGTCTGTTAGTGGACACGGTGTAGATGGCTGGGTGGCTGGCCTTTTTTAAAGGAGCTTGTTGTAAAGAGAGCTAGAAACAAATTGACCTGCTCTGCCTCCCAGTAAAAGGTTTCTCTGATCCTGTAGAATACAGAGAGGTTAGGGTGGCCATCTCAGTAGGATGGAGCAGTGCTGACATGGTGAAGGTATTGTGTGTACTGTGTATTTGTGGTCAATGTTCGACTGTGTAATTGTGTGTGTGTGTGGTTACATCATGTTTGATTAATATTTGCGTGTGTCAAGAATATTACATGCTGTCTCCACTAGGCTTGGGCCGTATCCAGATTGCTCTACCTTCATACCGACCTTGTGCCATCCCGACATATTTGGTAAGTACCGGCACTAAACACAAGGGGCCCTTTTTTCAAACCCCACTGAGCCTCTGTAATCAGATGGTTAGCAATGCTAACAATTACATGTAAGATTCCATAGCGAATGGTAGCTAAATGATAACAAGCGCAATGCGATAATGTTATGCAGTCTCTGACAAACTTTTTGCAGGACAGCCATCCCAGCTCATAAACTTATACAAGTAACAAAAAAATGCTACTCACAGTTTTCTGCGTGCACAAAACCTATATTAGACAGCAAGGATCTTGATCCAGGAGGGGATTCTCTGCTGTTTTTTAGAAGAAGCTAACCACTTAGCTAGATAATTAGCTACTAAATTAGCAAACCAAATGCACAACTGAAGAGCATTAGCACATTTTAGACAGGTAACTTAATAGGTAGCCAAGCGGTTAAGAGAGTTGGGCCAGTAACCGAAAGGTTGCTAGTTTGAATCCTCGAGCCGACTAGGTGAAACATCTGTCTATGTGCCCTTGAGCAAGGCACTTAACCCTAATTGCTCCTGTATGTCGCTCTGGATATGAGCGTCTGCTAAATTACTAAAATGTAAATGTAAAATAAGATATCTAGTTGGCAAACATTTTAATGTTGTGAATGCCATTCTGTAACTAGGTCAACTGGCGCGTGCTGCACAACAGTGAGTGACTCACAAGGCTCCGGTCTCTCGTACGCAATCTGTTTTATCTGCTAATGTATTGTAAAAGTTGACTGCAGGTATTTACTTAAAAAGTTTTCACATTTATTAAAAAACTTCAAAGAAATAGTTTCAGCGGTATTGATAAACCATCCCGGTATACGGTATACCGTCCAAGCATAGTATGGATGTAGTGTGTGTAGCTCTGTGATTTGTCCTCTTTGTTTGAGTCGATGTGAAATGTGGGTGTGTCAGTTATCATGTTGTATTACTGTAGGCCCAGCCCAGTGTAACATGACCAGACGAGGTATGCCATGGTGAGTTATCATGTTGTATTACTGTAGAGGTCTGCGTGGGACTGATTTATTCATCCCGCTCCCGCCTGCACCAGCAGCCGCACCCCCGCCCGCTCCTGGTGGCGTTCTGTCTGACTCCCACCCGCTACCGCAAGAACTGGTCCCGAACCCAACCCAAGTCCTGCAAACATGTTGCGCCCTATAGGCAATATCAAAATGCAAAAAAATAACCTAAGAAATAGGTTAAATTACCAGAGATTTTCATGTGGCCCATTATTAGGCTATCAGTGTTACTGGGCTATATCAGCCAATAGGCTAGACTTAGTTTGAAGATAGTTGAGTTTGAGAGACTTGCACTTTCTTTTGAGCTACGTTTTTATAGCCTACCTTTTTAGGAGTGGGACGATCTTCAGACGGAGACAAATATGGGTGATCAGTATTTATTTCTAGGCAATGTAGTAAACTATAGCCTAATCATATTTAGGAAGTACATTTCCTAGGAACGATAACTGCCCAGTGCTTCTCCGCCCATGCATAGGCTATAGCAGTGGTTCCCAAACTAGGGGTCGCGACCCCATGTGGGGTCACCTGATATGAAAATGGGATCTAAGGAGAATTTACAAAATCATGAAAAAATATATACAGAAAAAAGTATATATTATAATATTGTCTTTGTATCTCAAAATCATTGTGTAATGTGGTTAACCTTAAACATCTAAATTGCAATTATTCAAATTTAAAAGATAAAATTCAACCAGAGAGTGCTCTTAGATCATGGGAAAGGGCCGCACTTGAATCATTCCCATGGTCAATGGCTAAGGCCGCTAAGCTATGAAACCACACACTATTGCAGAGACTTTGATATTACTGGCCGCAATTGATATGGTGAAAACAATGTGTGGGGAGGCAGAGGCACAGAAACTCACATCAATACCTTTGTCAGATAACACTGTTAAACAAATAATGTATGCTATTGCTAGCAATCAATAGGAAAATCTGACTGAACGACTCTGAAATTCCCCAGTTAATGCTCTCCAAATGGATGTTAGCGGTGAGGGCCGAGATGCCCATGCATTGACTTTTGTTCGCTATACATGTCGGGGGATGCTATTCACGAGAACATATTGTTCTGTCTCAAGATTCCTGAGCATGAAACGGCACAGGGGATGTTCAGTGTGGCTTTATTGACGAAAAACAGATTCCATGGGATTGAATGGTGGGCTTTTGCACAGATGGGGCTCCATTTATGGTGACGACTGCTCACCTCCAACGCTTGGAAGAGCACTTTGGGATCTACTTCCCAATCCGTTTGACTGTGATCCTGGCTTAGTTGAAATGCCGGTAAGTGAAATCTAACAGCTAATTGAGCTGTCATGTGACCGAATGCATTCACGGGTCACTACGGAGGAGTTTTGGTTTTTGACTGCCGTCTCCCTCTGAGCATGAATACCACGTTCAAACAGCTTGGAACTCGGAAATCTCCGACTTCAGAGTGTTCAAGACAACTGTGCACTCTGACTGGGAAAAATCGTTTGGAACGGTCATCAAACTCGGAATTCCAACTCTGGAACTCGGGCCTCTTTTTAGAGCTCCGACTTTCCGACCTGAAGATCACTGATGTCATGATTTCACCTCGTATTTTTCAGAGTTCCCAGTTGTCTTGAAATGCGCCATAAAAATCATGGTACCCTTCGCCAGTTCATAACAGTTTGAAGCTGGATTCAGTGCTCTCGTATGCATTAAAGCCAAAAGTCGGCTGTTAATTACATAATTGCTTTCACATGGCTGGGGTCGCGAGAATTTTCAAATATCAAAATGGGGTCGTGGTGCCAAAATAGTTTGGGAACCCCTGGGCTATAGCCTACTCTAATTGAAACCACACACACACCTGATCTTGCACATATGGCTACTGAACTTCAAATCACATTTTATTGGTCACATATTTAGCAGATGTTATTGGGAGTGTAGCGAAATGCTTGTGTTCCTAGCTCCAACAGTGCAGTAATATCCTGCAAAATCGGCAGTGTATCAAGTACTTGTTCTCCCCACTCTATATACAGCAGTAGTTGAATAGGAAGGCATTGACTAGAATACAGTATATACATATGAAATGGGTAACTTGAAGCAGCAGGAATGATGAGACACTTCTCTTGAGCTACATGCACCGTTTCGCACTGCTTTGAGACAAACATGGGGACTGGTCTTGATAAATCAATCAGATGTTATATTCTCACAGAATCTCTGTTTGGGTATTGGTTAGCCTACAATTAGGGTGATTATTTTGCTCTTCACTCGCGGTCGCTTAGTAGCCCAGGCCTAGTCCCGCTCGGTCACGTTGGACAGCGCCATGCATAGGCACATACATAGGCTACTGTAAAATGCATTTTCGTTTTTCTTGGAATAGAAACACCATAATATTAAGCTACATTTCTAACAGTATAAACAGCACAACAAATACAATAATAATTTACAAACAAATTATAATCAATCCCATATAGTCTGTTCTAACAAAAAAGGTTTTAAAGTCTCTCTAGTACAGCCAATATTAAAAACAGTCATGCATTCGTGAATTCAATCACTTTAGCCGACATGTTGCGGTTTATTCATTGTTTAATTAATCAAGGCTCCCTTTGTTATTTCGTTTTATAACTAAAATGCTTGACTGTATTTTATAGACATGGATGACTTGTATGCTGTGTGATGACATGCACGAATGAATGATTGATTGATATACTGTATATTGAAGTAGGCCTTTTATGCCAATAAGTAAGTAATGCTAAAACAGCTACAGGACTCTTAGGCCTACAGCTCCATGTCATTTCAATAACTTAGCTTCTCAAAGATGCCCTCTGGTGGTCGAACTAGCATTAATGACAACAATGGCTGACAGTAAAATACTATGACATCACGCAGCTTTAAAGGAAGAACCACTGTAGGATATAGCCTACCTTTTTAGGAGGATGATTTGCAGGCAGAGACAAATAAATGGGTAATCAATATTTCTTGAAAATGAAAAGGCGCAACGCTCACTCACTGTTTTTGATTGCACCTCAACTTGCGTTGATTAAGTGCCCTCTTCTTTCCATTGTCAATATTTATTTACAGACACTGTAGTAAAGTGTAGTCTAATCATATTTAATTTAGTTTAATTTCCTTGGAAAGATAACTGCCCCGTGATTCTCCGCCCTTGCATGACTATGCTATTATATTGAGACCACACATACAAGGCACACTTGATCTCGCAAGCCCAACTAGGAGAGGAGCGGTAGGCTACTAAACTTGAAGCAGAGAATTCTGAGTGTGTGTGAATAATGCAACAAAGATGTGTTTTTAATACAATAGGTAGGCCTAGGCTAATGCATACACAGCAGAAGTACAACCGTTTGCAAATAATCTATGGGACAAAAATAAATACAAATCATCCCAAAGTTGTCTGTCTGACCGCCTGCTCCCAACCATGAAAAATGCTAACCGCGCAGCGATGATCTCTGTCGGGACCACAGGTGTGAAAGTAGAAATGTGCTTTAATTGCCAAAGTCGTTTGGGTCTCA